AATGTATATAACGCAATCGGGTATTTTCAAAATAGATCACACTCATAGATTTTCGTATAGATACATCACAATCAGTTGGTTTAGAATAAATCGCAGGCATATGCTTTCCAGATATCTAACTAAAAATGAACATAATTACAAATTGCGTAGGATTTGCATCACTCTATATTTATAAACAATACATTGCCCCCATTTAGCAGAATTTAAGGAGTGAATCCGGATCACTATCATAATAGATCCAAATTTATCTGTGACCTTAACGCAGTCAAATAGTAGATTACTCTTATAAAAATTTAGCTTAATCTAACATACCTGTAGCAAAATTTGAAAGCATAAGGTCCTTAAAATTATACATAAAAACTATATGTTATTTAAATTTATGCTGAATTTTATACAATGACAGTAAAAAAAATGGAATAAATCCTCATGTAGTTAAGAATGTAATCAAGTAACAAAAAAAAACTTTACTTTTCATTCTTTGCGATATTGTCCAATTAAGCTTTTTTTTTTTTTCATTTTTATTCGAAAAATTTTTAGGGATAATTTGAAATAAAAGGAATCTTAATAATCCCCCTTTTTTGGCTGTTTGCTTTTTTTAAAAAAAAAAAGAAAACTTGGATCTTAATTTAGATTATCTTAGATTAGAAAACTTAGATTATTTGCAGAGATAACGAAATAATTTGCAGCACCTGTTGTGCTGCCTTAAAGGGTTTTTACTTCCGGAACATTAACTTTGTCAAATTTGCTTTTTTAAGAAAAAGTGACAATAAATATTATTTTTCACTGTTTCTAAACAAAATTAAACGCTTGATTTAAAAACATACCAGTTGTTTGAAAGAGTTAAACTTTAACAGATTTCTATATTCATTTGCAATATGCAACAAGTCAGTTGAAATTTTTATTAGATTTTTATTATAAACATGAAAATTTCAAATATTGTTAAAAAGTTAAAACAGAAATTTATTTATTTATTTATTTTACGTTTTTATTAACTCACTTTAGCTCCTGAGCTTGGAATCGCTTTACCATGATTTTATTAACTTGTTTTTGTGACTGTGAGAGTGGAATTTTGTAACTATGTTTTCATTAACTGGATTTTCGTGACGGGGAGTGTGGAATCGTGTAACATTTTTAATTTTTGCTTTCGTTTTTTATGAAAGTGGAATCTAGATACTATGCTTTCATTAACTCCCTTTTGCTTTTGCGAGAGTGAAATCGTGTCAATTGTAACCGTGTCTCCGTTAACTCACTTTCGTTTCTATGAAGGCAGGATCTTGATGCTTTGTTTTCATTGTCTCTTTTTTGTTAATGTGAAAGGGAGATCGTGTTACTACGTTTTTATTAACTCACTTTCGTGTTTATAAGGGCGGAAAATTGATACTTTGTTTTCATTAACTCGCTTTCGTTTCGTGCCAGGGAAGTAGAAATACTGTAATTAAGTTTCAACTTTTCACTTTCATGTTTATGAGGACGAGATCTTGATGCTTTGTTTTCATTGATTCTTTTTTGTTTATGTAAAAAGGAAATCGTGTTACTGCTATTTTATTAACTCTCTTTCGTGTTTATGAGGGCGGAAAACTGATACTTTGTTTTCATTAACTCGCTTTCGTTTCGTNAAAAGAATCTTGCAAATTAAAAACAATTATGTAAATTAAAAAATATACTTGGGAGTTGAAAATAAATATTCTTGCAAATTAAGAAAATTTTTGAAAATTAAAATTATTCTTGAAATGTAAGAGTTTCCTCATCAATTAAAATTTTAGTATAATCCTTGTACAATAAAAAAATATTTGAAAAATCAAAATATTCTTGAAAGTTAAAAGTTCTTTTAAAGTAAGATTATTTTGTATGCTCGTAAATTCAGAGTACGTGAAGAATAAAATTATTCTTGAAAATTAAGTACAGCTTTATAAATTGAGAATAATCGTGTAAATTATTCTTGATAGTTTTGAATTTCTTTGCAAATTAAGAATATTTTATTAATTAAGTATATATTTTCGCATGTTAAAAGTATTCTTCTTTCTTATAACGCAAAAAGGGGAAAATTTAAGAAGCGTCATATCGCTGATGAGGAAACGTCACATATTTGATGTAAGATTATTTTCTAAAATTTCATTTCTTTCAACTTTAAGTTTTTTGTGAAATAATTTTAGAGAACTAAACTGAGGTTACCAATGGTAAAGAATAAAAGTAGAAATTTTCTAATTAAGCACATATATTAAGCCATATTTAATGAACAAAGATATTTATCTATGTGGCTTTTCATATATATATTAAAACTTATATGTTATGGTGGAGAAAATTCTTTTAAATCTAATTTTAAAAATATTTGATACAACTAGTAAAATTGTTTTTTGAAAATCAGGAAATTTTGAAATTGTAAAAGCATATGAAGATTTAAACTGGAAAGTTTCTCTTAAAAAAATATTCCAGTTATAAAATTAAAAACTCATTTCACAAAATTGTGATTAGAAAAATATAATTTAATTAATGTAAAAAGAAAATTATCTTAAATTCTGGTTATTTTAATGAAAAATAAAAAAATTTTGAATTTTTTGAATTTTTTTGAGTGTTGAAATGGTATTTGTGTTGGTCACCATCATATTATTCTGGCGGTTTAGTGTAAAAATAATATTAAAAACAAGTTTTAATAATGTGTTTAATTATAATTATAATATTTTAACAATAATTTCAACAAGTTATTTAATAATATTTTTAATTATATTAATAACATTTCAACAATAATTTTAACAAGTTATTTAATAATATTTTTAATTATATTAATAACACTTCAACAATAATTTTAACAAATAATTTAATAATATCTTTAACAAGTTTTAATTAGTTTTGTTGCATTTTAATTTCTTTTGTCGTCAACAAAGCTTACTAATCCTGGGTACGGCTGTAATATGGGATTTTGGGTTTTTCGGAAATTTTTTCTTTTTTTATGAAAATTAAATGCGATTTTCTTTTGGTGAATGATTATTTTATTGAATTTTAAATTATCCATTCTGGTTCAATATCTTTTCCCAACCTTCTGGCAGTATTCTCTAGGTTAAAACATTTGTGTTCTTTACTGGCAAAAAACTAATCGAGTTTGATTTTTGACCTCATTTCTTATAACCTTCGTTGAACCCAATACAATTTACTTGTACCGCCAGTACAAGTAAAAAGTACGTACTTTTACTTGTACTTCGTTACTTTTTAAATTTAGTACTTTTACTTGTACTTTCGTTACTTTTTTAGGGAAAAAGTACAAGTATTTGTAACGGAAATGTCGAATGAAATCGTTACGTTTTTCTAAAGCTCGGTAAGCTTTCGAAAAAAAAAATTAATTAAAAAAAATGCATATGTTTTTTTAATTTATAAGATTAATGTGCAATATATATGCATTCACAGCTAACTTCGTGTTTAAATACCTTCTGTTTCAACTTATACTGTTAATTCAATTATTTTTTACTAGCTCAAAAATCACAAAGCTATCTGAAACTCCGTGTTTGCTTTGTTTATGTTTGTGCTTTTAAAACGCGTTTCTAAAGAGTAAAACAATTTTAAATCAATGGTAATTTAAATAAATAAAAATAATAAACTAAAAATTAAAATCAATAGATAAAATTTCTTTTTCGTGCAAATCCATAAAAAGTTTGATATTAAAATTATATTTGATTTTAAAATTATATTATACGATTATATTATAAAATTATATTATAATATTCTTCCGAATTTAAAAATAAATTAATATCCATAACTTTCAAAATTAAAAATAATTAAATAAATAACAACAATTTTGCAAAAACATTAAAGAACATAAGAATATTATTCAATAAAATTTTAGGTTACTTTGAATTTTCGATTTCCTAGAAATGTACTTTTAAATCGTTACTTTTTTTGTTTAGTACTTGTACTTTTACTTGTACTTTTTACTCGTTACTTTTTAAAATAAGAACTTTTTACTTTTTACTCGTTACTTTTTTTAAAAATCCTTGTACTTTTACTCGTTACTTTTTAAAAGTAACGTTGCCATATATGGTATCAATGCATCCTCTCCATACAGATCGGATAATGTTTTTCTTGATTGAACAATATTTTTAACTTTTCGATCGTGAAATATATAAAATATGCCGAAACCCTTCCTACATCAGCTTAAAATTTTTTTTATTGATTTTATTACTTAAGTGTGAAGTTGGTTGTGAAGAAATACAATGATGTCCTCCGTTGGGAAAAAAACGCAATAACTTTCCGAACGAACCAATAGTATACTAATTTACTACCCTTGCAATTTTATTTATTAATCTTCCAGAGCCACTACTGCACAGTTGAATTTTAACCTCCCCACAGTTTTGGGGCAAATTTAATAGTAGTAAAACATAAACATTAGAACTAGAGCTTTTAATGGAACTATTTAACAGAAGTAAAACATAAACACTAGTCACAATTTGTTCTTTAACCCCTTGGGGACGGGTGATTCAGAAAAGTATTCGTACAAAATCAGAATCAGGATGTAATTAAATAAAAAACGGTAACTTAAATGTAGTAGTTGCTAATTTTATAAACTTAATTTGCTTTTACTTTAATTATTGTTAGTTTAATCATATAGATAATAAATGCTAATTCAAAGTATAACTAAATAGTCTTATTTTGAACAAANAAATCAAACAATTATACCTCCGCCCACAAATAAACTGCTAAAGAATTACTTTGATTACCAGTTTTATCTTTTTACCCTGATTGATACGGTCTTGTGCTGGCACGTGTTTGTGACAGTCGGCGAAAAAGGATTAAGATATTGCCACAAAATTTAGAGGTCTGATTTGGCCAAGTTTTTTGAAAGATATATTTGCTTTACAGAAAGACATATCGTGTTGATCAAAAGATAATAAATGATCCAGTATTGCCTACTTTTTGTTAACAATATATAATTTTTCTGAGGTACATGAGATTCCTGATTTTTAATTTGACATAAATTGTTTCACTATAAAAATAATGAGCTTTAAACATACCTTTAATTAGATTCAAACTAAAGTGAAAGTTGTGCAGTGATGAAAGCGTATCCGATTCTAATTTACGAACGAGATCGTTCAATAAACAACTTACTTCAGAGAAGAAATTAATTCACGTTCTGGGGTAATTCCAAGCTAAATAAAAGATCAAAACCTGATCGGGTAAGATTTCTCTTTGGTCAAATAAGTTGATAATTTGCATCCTTCAAGGCTACAAGTGAGACGTGAATTGAATAATAGCTATATTTATATCCATTTAATAAAATACGTATTATTAAAATCAATGCTCTTTTTTTACCTTGTTAATGACGACTCGTGTTTATTTTTCTAAAACTGTAGTGACACATTTAATTAAGCACTTTCATTACTGTTGCATAATAGATTATAACTACATTAAGAAAGTAATTTCGTTAGAATTAAAATTTTTTGATTGAACTGAAGTACATATAATGTGTGATTACATAAATTATTACATATAATGTACGATTAAGTACATTAATAAATTTAAGTACATATTTGTAAGCAAATATACAGTAACTAGGAGGCTTCACCCCTTGCTCGCTAGTGCTCGCCAACCCCCGGAACTGCTTTCGCAGTTCATTTCGGATTGCTTCGCAATCCAATGCTCTCTCATTGGATACGTTCTTAACGTCTAGCTTTTGTATACTTTTTTGAATACTGGAGTTCCGAAAACTTTTCACTGTGGGAAATTCTAAACCTGTACATTTCAATATTAATTTGAAATTCGAAACAGTTCACATATTTTGCTTAATCACACAATTCTAAATTTCAGTTGCTGAGAAAAGTAACTGTTGTAAGTTTTGTTTTAAAGTCTTTCCCACCAGAGGGCTAAAACCATGTGTTGTGAAACAATATAAAATAGTAGTCTGCCACTGAACGCCGGATGTAAAGCATCGGCTTCGATGAAGATAATTTTTAATCATTCATCTGGTNTCCTTATCCTATTCCTATTTGTTTCTTCAATCTTCCCCTATCCCATTCCTATTTGTATGTTCTACCTTCTTCGATTCTATTCCTATTGTTTCTTTAATCTTCCTCTATCCTACTCGTTTCAATTTTCTCCTATTCAATTCATTTTTGTTTCTTCAATATTTCCTTATCCTATTCCTATTTGTTTCTTCAATCTTCCCCTATCCCATTCCTATTTGTATGTTCTACCTTCTTCGATTCTATTCCTATTGTTTCTTTAATCTTCTTCTATCTTACTCGTTTCAATTTTCTCCTATTCAATTCATTTTTGTTTCTTCAATATTTCCTTATCCTATTCCTATTTGTTTCTTCAATCTTCCCCTATCCCATTCCTATTTGTATGTTCTACCTTCTTCGATTCTATTCCTATTGTTTCTTTAATCTTCTTCTATCTTACTCGTTTCAATTTTCTCCTATTATATATATATATACGTGTCTGTGGTGGGGTTATGGGGTTATCTTGCAATCAAACTTGACACACCGACAAACTAAATCTCCACCTAAGCTCTGTATCTACATAAAATACAAGCATCAGTCTTTGTTTCGTGTTACAAATAAAATTCATAAGATATTGACCACTTTTAGACTAGCTGGAGTATTTAAAACTGAACTGGAGCTCTTTGCTTCCCGACAATTCAAGTTTCTATCATTTAATGTTTTATACCTAAAGGAAGACTTTAAAACTTCATTTCATCGTCAAATTGAATTAATTGTCAATTGGAATTTCTACAATTTTCGTGAGTAGCAAACACGACATTAAAAAGAAAATGCAATAAAACAGAACAAAAATGAAATTAGCAACTTTTGTTTTAGTAGTCTAAAAAGATAAAAGGATTTTTTTTTGTAAGCAAAGAAAAAAAAAAGAAGATGCACCAAAACACGAAAAACAACCAACAGTGAACCACCAAAATTAAAAACGCCTTTCAAAAGTGTTGCTCTTAATATTTTTCTGTATCAGAAATGAAAAAAAAATGAAGTAATTTTTTCCTTTTCAGTCAACTTGAGTAAACTTTTAGTTCTTATTTTATATTTCTAATTTTTTTGCACAATAATTCCTATATGTTGGTTTCTTGGTATTTAGTTTTCTCTTACAAAACAATCTGTATTTTTTATTTCTATGGGAGACACAAGGGCTACACCGGGTAACAAATTCTATCTTTTTTCTGTTGAATGAGTTCTTTGAACAGATTTTAGACATTTTTGCGTCGCTGATTTTAAATCTAATCTGCAATCGGTTTTTCTTCAGTTTTTATGAAAATGCATTCCTAACCAGGATTTTTTTTTAAAAATTCAATTCCCTCGGGCAAATAAAGGTCTCCTGATTCTCTGTTATGTGGGGAGTGGTAGGAAGTAGGCGATAATACATTTCTGTGTGGAATGCTATGTTTAAGGTCATGTGTATTTAGTCTTCGTTATTTTCAAAGAGGTAGATATATATATGTATCTATATAAATCTATACGTTCTTGAGACAAAGTACGTTGAGACTTGTACGTTGAGACAAAGATTCAACTAAACTAAAAACACTATGGGAACATGGAGCACTTGAGACTCGACAGATTTTATACTTTTATATAAAATATAAGTATATATATTATTAGTATTATTATTATTAATCGTAAAATAAATTCACAAAGAAAAAGATAAAACACAAAAAACAAAGTTTAGAGAAGAAAACAGAAAATTTTTAAAAATAAAACTTTTAAAGATTTAAGATGCAAAAAAAATCATATGAAAAGAGGAAAATGAATGAAATAAATGAAAAATAAATAATTATAAATAGAAGAAATAAAAAGAATTGTTGCATACCTAATTGTCGCTTTTAATAAACATTCACTATTTAAAGAAACTTGTTGTAACAATGATAATAAATAGGGATTGGTTTTATGTGTCCGAATGATTATTTATGTGCGCTGAATAGTTAGAAAATGGATTTATCATCGTGAAGATCAATTTAAGAAAGTAGGAAGAAGTGAACTTCTCTTCCAAGAAATGGAACAAAATTTAAGATGAAGTGTATCCGTATGCCAGTTCCCACTTTACATAAATAATATTTTTTTCAAATTTACCTCGGATTCTGAGTTTATATACAGACTTTGATAATATAGTTTTAAAAAAACATAGAGAATATAAATGTTTTAAAAAAGTACTTCAAAAAAATTTTTTTTTAATAAATCTGATTATTACAGGAAAGTGGAGCTAGTATGGACATACGATCAGCCAAAATATCTTTTACTATACAGTTTTGAACATATCTAGTAGTTTTTTTTTATTAAACGTTGAATGATACAATAGCTAATTTGGATATATACCTTTTTAATGATCTTTTTTTCAAAAAATAGTTATTTTTTGTCCACACTGGCCCCAAATCACGGAACGAATTTAGACAAAACATAAAACAAATTATCTAATTAATTTACTTATAAAAGCAATTAAATCCAAAATGGAAGTTTTTTAAGTTGAAAAATATTAGGAAAATGTATAAACAGATTATAGTGTTTATGTGAAAATGTATAAACAGATTTATTTTAATAAATAATAAAGTTTAATATACACAGGAATATACGCAGATATACATATTAATATAAAACTTAATACAAACTTCACCCAATTTAATGAGTTAACTCATTTTTAAGTATAAAACATTTTACAATCAAATCTCATCATATTTTTTTTAATTCAATAAAGTTGATCTACAATGATTTTAATCACCATGGCTTATAAACTATTAAAACAATCATATAAAACCTGATAACAGTGCTGTGGAGAATCAGAAAAGTCACAACCGGTTTTTTTTCCTATTTTTTTTAAATATTGACAAATTTTTTATGAAATTAGTGGAAACTTTTAGATGTTTTAATTTTACTTTATAGTTCGTAAAATTTAGCATCTGGAAATACTTTCTCTAACTTACAAATATATCTTGTTGGGTAGGAATAGTAAAATCAATTCTTTCTTTAATATTCCCTATCCAATTCTCATTTGTTTCCTCAATATTCCTTTATCGTATTCATATTTGTATCTTCTATCTTCTCCAATTCTATTCCAATTGTTTCTTTGATCTTCTTCTATCCTATTCGTTTCAAATTTCTCCTATCCAGTTCATTTTTATTTCTTCAATATTTCCTTATCCTATTCCTATTTGTTTTTTTTTCAATCTTCCCCTATCCCATTCCTATTTGTATCTTCTACCTTCTTCGATTCTATTCCTATTGTTTCTTTAATCTTCCTCTATCTTACTCGTTTCAATTTTCTCCTATTCAATTCATTTTTGTTTCTTCAATATTTCCTTATCCTATTCCTATTTGTTTCTTCAATCTTCCCCTATCCCATTCCTATTTGTATGTTCTACCTTCTTCGATTCTATTCCTATTGTTTCTTTAATCTTCTTCTATCCTACTCGTTTCAATTTTCTCCTATTCAATTCATTTTTGTTTCTTCAGTATTTCCTTATCCTATTCCTATTTGTTTTTTCAATCTTCCCCTATCCCATTCCTATTTGTACCTTCTACCTTCTTCGATTCTATTCCTATTGTTTCTTTAATCTTCTTCTATCCTACTCGTTTCAATTTTCTCATATTCAATTCATTTTTGTTTCTTCAATATTTCCTTATCCTATTCATATTTGTTCCTTCACTCTTCCCCTATCCCATTTCTATTTGTTTCCTCAATCTTTTTAAATTTTTGCTGGTTGTGACCACCCAAAGACTGGTTAAACTAATTTTACTTATTTGAATTGATATTATAATCATCATATTCAACATTGTAGCAATCTATAACTTTTCCAGTTTATAAATGTTAACTTATATTTAAAAACTGATGCACTTTCCGATTATGTAAACAAATGTTTCATTGACAAGGAACTACACTAGAAGTGTGCTTTTCATATTTATTTAGAAGAAAAAGTACTTTTTTAAACAAAATTGGAAAATAATTTACACTTCCCTGAAATAAATGACCGGGCAGCAAATTGGGATGGTTTAAGGGTAAAACATGCGAAATAAAAACATGCTTTAATAGAGGTTGTTTTACAATGCTAGATAACATTTATATTTGCTGTTTTACAATACCCTGATTATAATATAAAATGAAATTTATGGATATCACTTTTTTTTTAACATTTTTTAAAAAAATATGAAAACATCATAGAAAATTGCTTTAAAATTTTTAAATTATCGTATTATAATTAATCGTATTTGGTAACTTACGAAATTTTCTACATTTTGTAAGTTGCCAAATACGATTCCCAACATAATTATGAAAGAAATTAAAATGTTTTTCGCCTATGCGCAGTATGAAAGGACTAATTTAAATGCTCAGATTTTGCGCAATTTTAATTTTTTTTCTTCAAATTTTAAAATTGCATTTTCGTTATTAATTAAAAATTGCTCAAAAAATTTTGTTTAATTTTATCTAATATTTTTACAATTATAGTAAAGAAACATGAGCAAAAATTTTATTTATTTTCTATAAAAATGCTTATATTTCCATAGATATTAAGCTAGTTTTACGAAATTTTTATGCAGTCAATAAATATATAAGTAATTGATATAAGTTACAAGCTTATTGATTGATTTTCTAGCACAGGGCATTCAAAAACACACCTTTTCATTCATAACTTCTTGCGCATGCAAATACAATGCGCTTGCGCTTTACAATTCATTGATAAGCATGCGAAATTATAAGACCTAGATCCTTCTAAAGTTATAAAATAATATTTTATGTTCTTCTTATAAGAAATTTGAAAAATGTCAAAAACTGAAAGTGTCTGTTTCATTAATTTAGGGAAGTGTATTACAAGCTAATTATTACGTTAAAAAAATTAAAATGATTAAACGTTAGTTTTGAAATAGTAATTATTTTACTGATAAATGCATTTTATTTGAAAAATAAAAACGATATTTTCTGGATTAGGATCTGTAAACAAATTGAATAAAGCTCATTAATGTAACGTGTGTGTATGCTTTTGTACGCATATTTTTATTGTATACACTGCAACTATAATAATATTGGCTGGCACGTTTCTTCTAAATTGGGCGTAAAAATAATTCTGAAGTAGTAGCCCCTTGCACCAACTGAGCTTAGCTTTACACGGCTAACCATCTATATTGTGCACTTTTTACGTTTCCACGAATTACTACGGAATTTGGGTATTTTTAGAAAATAATTTTTCTAGAGGTAGTATAAGGTAATGTATTCATATTTTAAGGTAAATTAGAATTATGCGATTACCACTACATATGACTAATTTGAACAGATATAATTATTGTTAGATAATGGATTAATCATGCACTTAAGTCTTGATAAAGGTTTCGTGAGAATTCCGTTAATTTTAAAAATTTTCACCCCTAGTTCATTTCCTATATTAATTATATCTAAAAACAAAGTTACAAAGAAGAGTATAATTTTATATTACTTCAAATTTGAAATGCAAGCAAACAACTAATGTAAGTTTTCAACTAATTTGTATCAGAACAAAAACAAGCTGACATAACTTAGAAAAGAATAAGTACAGTTTGTCTACGGTAAGAACTCCACCTGCCACAAAGTCTGACGCCGCCTGCTCATATGGAAACAAGAATAGCACACTTCTCTTCACTTTAACACAATAGACCGTAGAAAAAGATTCCCTTTCTCTGGCCAAAACCTTTCCTAAACAATGACCCCACACCCTACTTGAAATAATTATACCTTGTAACCATAGTCACCGCCACGGATCCAGACGAATGACAAGGGGAATTATCACTTTAGACAAACAATACATTTACTTTCATTTTCTCATTTAAATTTTTTTTCCTGGTCGATATCGTAAAAAACTCACCATGAAGTTATGTGATCTAGATACACCCATCATTATAACTTCATTACCGCTTCTTTTTTAATCGGTATATTTTCCTACACTTTTTTGCAAAATTATCGTAAACCATATTGTCTTCACATTTCTCGCTGCGAAGATAAAACAACCCAACGAAGAAGTCATCGCGCTTCGAAAAATACAAAACATAATTCTCATCTTCGCCTTCACACATCATGTTTTCTAAATTCTGATGATTGCAAATGGCGCAATGTGGATTTCGGTAATACTCCGTGTAGTTGTAGGAGTCATCATTTTTGGGGATTCTGGTCAGAGCCATATAAGCCAGACACTTCTCTCGGATATTGTCATCAGTCCAATCAGACGCACAATCTGAAATTATTCTAAAATTAAAACAATAAGGCACAACTGTTTTCAATTCTTCCGGCAGAGACGTGAGCAAATTAACAGAAATGTTCTCCTTCCCGTCCTCCATAAACCATGACCACCTAGTTTTATTATAGTACAAGTTCGGTAATGAAGATCTAACAACTTTTTCAGATTCACTTTCTAAGACCAAATTCCATGGTACCGGCTCTTCTCGACTATACTTTTCGTTGCAAGCAAAGCAATAGTAGTTCTTATACGTAATACCTGTTATGAGATCAGTAACGGGTATTAACAAAAAGGGATCGTCATTGCCATAACTTTGGCAGAGTTCTTCAGTGGTTTTGTCATTTTCCAGATCGGGATTACATTGGCTAATCAATGGATAAAAATAGTTTTTCTGCTTTTCATCTTTATATTGGGAACAATAAACGTCTTCTATCGGTTTTGTATATCTGCGTCGATATTTTGAGTCGACGCAGCATGTATTGAGAAGACTGCATGAAATTCCACAGTTACAGTTATATTTCTCAAGAGTATCTTTTGTTCTGGGTATATTACAAGAATCTTTTCCTTTGCATGTTCCATTTAAAATTTCTATATCATCGTATATCACATCAGATAAAAGGATACACCAGCATTCCAAGCTGACAAAAATTCCAGATATCATCAACAGAGAAATAATTTGAAATAATTTCCTCATGGTCGGTATAACCTAGAAATAATATTAGATATCAGTAAATATGAATATCTGTTACAAATAGTCTTTAAAAACGAAATTCTTATCAACTTAACTATCTTGCAAAAAGGGCATACATGAACTGTTTTGTAATGTGTATACGTACTGCGTGGATGATTAACAGTACGAAACTAAATCTAGATGGCGCTAGCGGTTAAAATTCATTGCAGTACTCTTATTTTCTTAATTTATGAATTTTTACGTCTAAGTTTAAAAATTTCGTCAGTCAATATATTGCTTTCGTACTGTCTATAACACGACTTGTATCATTTTCATTCAATTTGTAAATTCATTTAACTATAGCTGAGGGCATTAAAAAAACTAAAGATAACACACAAAATATGGCAACCCTTTCACTCTACCTACGTCGTGATGATAATTTCTTTAGATTGATTTATGGCTCACTATTTTTTAGAATCTATACGTCTTATGAATAATATTATGAGGTACGTCTTATGAATGATATTAGGAGATAAGGTATTATGAGATACGTTTTATGAATGTCAATACGTGAAACGTCAAATACAATCTCAACAATGAAACTTCTTAGAATATCAAACCTGTTTACACACCATCTCGTGAACAGAACTAAGCGGTGGAATACACCGGAAGTTTTCAAAATTCCGTTCCGCTTTTAAAATTTTTTAATTATTTACACTCAATTCACCGACCGTATTTCTGAGATCATTACTAGCTCATTTACTTTCCACGTCGTCTGATTGGGTCGGAATAACGTTTTGTTTCTACCATGACCATCAATTTAAAGAAGAAAAACAGAGAGAGGAAACGGTGGCTGTATTATGAAATTATGAAGTTAAAGTATTTCATGAAGTTAGATGTGAAGAAGTTGGATTGAAGTTAAATTAATGGCATAATTTGTATTTTAAAATATAAGTAAGGCACTTTTCTCTCACAAAAAAAAAAACGCTCTTTTGTTTTTGGGTAATCTTATAAAATAATGTACTGTGTTTGATATTTTTTGTGAAAGAATACACAATTTGGGAGAAGTTGTATCAAATTTTCAGTTTCTAAAGGAAAAGAGTTTTCGATTTAATATTTCTTAAAGATTCTGTGTTTTCTCCTTTTCACAACTAAGACTATTTTTCTAACGAACATAGAGTAATTTCTTCTAAAAAATTTGGTCTGATTTAGATGATCAAATACTTTTTCTTTGTAATGAGAAAACAGAACATAAATGCATGTATTTTCATTTTCTTCAACCAACTCAACTGCAAAATATGCTCATTTAATTACCAAAATTGTGCTTGCATCGAAAATAAGAAAAAATAGTACTTTAATACATTAGAATTGTTTGTTTAGCTTTTTTTTTCAGACAAGTAGGTTTTTAAAATTAATTTTTGACAATTTTTTTCATTATATATTTATCCTAATATAATGAGTATATCCCAACGAATATATATATATATAGTANTATTTATATATATATATATATATATATCCTAATATTATTTAGGCACTATTGTTTGGTCTGTTTAGTCTCACAAATTATCTTTAAATCTAACTCGGAAGACAACAGACTAAATTAACTAAAATATTGGGACAAATTTACTTCACTAAAATATTTTTTGAATTACAGTAGCCCTCGTTCACATTTTATGGGAATGGAAAACAGTAAACAACGAAAACGTGTTATGATTGTCTTGATTAAATGAGAACTTTAACCTTTGACTAATTTACCACTGATATATTTTGTCAGCACTATAGTTAGTGTGAGTAAGAGATGATAAAATACTTGTTGTCACACATTCTCAAATCTAAAATTGTGCAGGACTATTCGAGATAAAGCCTCTGCCATAGAACAGCAGTCAACGCTTAACTTTTTTTTAATTACTATTACTAAGCAAATCATTGATGTTTGTACATTTGTGGGAGAGTAATGATTTGAATAAATGGAATTAAAAATTTAGGATTTTTGATCAATATAGGATTTTTAATCAGAATTTCCTACCTGTGGAACTAACATTAAAATTGATCACTATCAGTCAATTTACATGTTACCCTTTTATGACACCTTAATCAGTTACCAAAGATCGATCGCGCTTTTAAAAAAGTTCATAAAATATTAAAAATGAGAGAAAAACCAGACCAATTAATATATTTATGGCTCTTAATATATGTTGTTTTTCAAAAATATAGCGATATTTCAAAAATATAATTAAGTAAGTAATTAAACTGAAAAATATGCGAAACGGAAATTACTCCTCGATTAAATTTTTCTAACATCCGTGGGAACACTTGCTAACACATTTTGTCCTCAAACGCATTCAAAATTTTCCTAAAAATATAAAACGAAAATCGTGAAAGGATATAGATATAGCATATAATTTTAAAGACTCTCCAACTGTTCCAAAATTATCCTATTTACTAAAAAATAAATTCGAAAAACCTAAATAACTTATGTTTCAAAGATACCCTGAATATTTCGGCTGAAATTTTGACTTGATTTGAATTTTTTAATGAAGTAATACCTAGTACGGAAACTATATAAACAAGAAATAAATTAATATAGTTTTAAGTATATCCTATATATGCCGGTCAGGTGGCAGAGCGATTCACAAGCCTCACTACGGAGCCAATGGTTGCGAGTTCGATTCCCGCTCAGAGCATGGATGTTCTGTCTGTGTATTGTCCTCTGCTGTGTGATACGTGAATGTAGTTCACCCTATAAACGAATATCTGTAGTAGTGTAGCGTGGGTAATGTTGCTCGTCTGCATGACTAATGTTCACAGGTGCCCTCCGGGTAATGTTAAATGAGCAACACTTCCGGTATCTTCTGAAGCAAAAGATCGAGAGTTCAGTGCCTGCCATTAAAAAAAAGTATATCCTATGGTCACTCTAAAAGCATATCTGATGGCCAATATGCTACCATTTATGAAATAAAATTTGTCAATGAAGCAATATATGTTTCAGAAACTACACCAATAATATATAAATTGATGAAATTTTAAGCATATTCTGCAATTTCTATAATCAAATCTGACAGTCAAAGTGCTACCGTTTCGATAAAATAAGTTTGATAATGAAGTTACACGTGCAACTTTCAATGAGATGTAAACAAATGATCACTGGTGGAGCAGTTTCGCCCTTTAGCGTGGAGGCAGCAGGTTCGAATCTCGTCGTAATCCTAATAGCAATTGTCAACGCAACTGTTGTTTTACTATCAGAATGACTCGATATAAATGCAAACATTAGCAGCTATGCTATTATTATTGTTATTGAAAAAAAATCCCCTTAATAACAGTGTTTAGATATTATTACAAAATAAAACTAAAATGGATCTTACCTCCATAAGGGAACAAAGCATAAGTTTTTTCACTGTAACTGCAACCAAAGAGTGAAGAATTTTCTTTTTCAGAATTAAGATATATCCAACAACCGTGCCGATTTAAACGAAGTTCTGCAGTTTAAACGCTTTTACGATATACTATGTTTCACATTAATGTGGAAATCTCAGAAATCCATAGTAGTAATTCAAAATAACTAAAAAACTAATAAAGCAATATGCCATCTTTCTTCACAACAGCATTTAAATTATAATTTACATGAGTCATGCACTTACATTCTAGAACTGAAAACCTCCCATCAAGTTACTTGAAAAGTAAACCGGTTTCGCTCAGTAGCCTCTTTTATCATAAAACACAAAAAAGGAGCTTATCTCACACTTGAATTCATTAGGTGGTTAAAAAAGATGTGAGAATAATCAACAAGAGAGATTTTAACAGCGCAACCTTCTTTTTCTTCCTTTGATTCATGTGTTTGGCATTTAAGTTTTTGACTTCCCGAAACAAGCTCAATTTTAAATAATCAGATATGTCTACAATACTCAGAATCTTTCCGTTGTAGAAGAGGGTGACTCAAGAATAAAATTTGCATACCTGTCAACATTTAATCCCTTCCATTTTGGTTTTTCCTAGTGGTAATAAAATGGAATTAAAATTTCAATTTTAATCAAATAAAATACATGGTATTTTAGAAAGCTTAAGCTGAAGACTATAATAGTGACACATATTAATATACATGCTTAATTTTTTTAAGAATAGTGGTGATCAAAATCATTTAAAAATTAAGTTTATAAAAGAAAAAATAGTATATATTAACTACCACTTTAAATATGAAAATAAAATTTTACGCCAAATGCGTAAAAGTTGGCACGTTTGAATTTGTGATGCGACCTACGAAACATGTTTGTCAATGTTGATTAAAGAATGTATTGTTGAGATTAAAATTGAAGCACTATAAGGTTTGTTTTGTCGCTTCCTATTGACATTCAATTAATAAGAATGTATCTAAAGAAGAAGAAAAATTTATTTCGTTAAATTATGGAAATGATTAGATTACCTTTTTAACTACGCTAATTTTACATAGCTTTCTCGTCAGGCCACACGGTTGATAACTACAAGCTAAATTTGTAAATATTATTCAGATTTTTCTAGTTTTTAAACGGTTTAGCATGATGTCTTGCTTGCTTGTTTTATTTAAATAAACTGGGCACCTGGGACGCGAAGTGGCCCCTCCATTCATCTTTAAATTACATACCGTAAGGTAATATAAATTGATTTGGCAAACAACAAAATTAAAAAGTAAACAAAATTAGTCAAATAGTTACAAATTTAAGTATGTTCACCGTTTTTTTTAAATTATCATGGCGCGTGTGAAGCAGTTGGCATTTAGCAGTAAATCAATTATCATCTTACTGCCACATGGGAAAATAATTATTTGGCAAGATAATAAGTAGGCAGACCACTAGAATACATTTCCTTCTACAGAGCAAACGATGGCAGCAATGCTCGTATTATTATTGGAAGAAAATTCTGAATAATAATTATGGTTGGGTATTATTAGAAAACAAAACTGAAATACCTCTCATCTTCTAAAGCATTAAACTTTCACTGATTACTAAAGTATAAAAACTTTTTTCTTATAATGTATCCATCGCAACTTGTGCCTCATGACGAAGTTTAGTGACGTACGTTCAATGTGAATAAAATGAAGCCTGTATTCATTGTATTTCACGTTAAGGTGCAAAGTTCAAAAATCCACAGAAATAAGCACAATAATTAAAAAAATGAAACAGCCTCCTCTTCTCGCCGAAGTATTTAAATTATAATTTATATAAATCAAGCATTTACCGTCTAAGAATTGAAAATATGTCAGTTACTTAACCCTTTGACGGTTATGAACGAGTTCAGCTCGCAATCGAATCGTGCCTCATAATGCGCGCAAACGAGTTCCGCTCGGGAGCAAGATTTCGACCGTAATGGTTAGTAACGAGCACTACTCGGGTAGTGAAATTTTTCCCCAATGCGTGCTGACGAGCTGAGCAGCTGAGCTCGTTCGCCATAATTATTCTGCATTGACTATGTTAAAAATGAAAAGTACGTAAAAACTGTTACTTATGTACTACGAATACTTTAAGAAATTTTTAAACGCGTGAGGCGAGCTATCTACCGCAACCAGAGAAGCCAACTTACTCCGCTTTGTAAAATAGTATTTCCTAGTGATAGCGAAAGTCAAGTTACTTTTAGTTTAGTATTTTTCCTTTTAAGTAATTTATTCACCACTAAATATCAAAAACTATTAGTATCATATAAAATGCAACGTGAAAGCAACAGTCTACTGGTTACTCTATTAAAAAGTAAGCGTAACTGTCCTTTTCCAACGAAATTTACTACATAATTTGCTACCACTTTATTATAACAATTCCAGAAAGCGGAGTCGTTGGCATCGCCAGAGAAGGGTGACATTTTCGGTAGAACGGCGGTGGAAAATAGCTGCCACTTTCGACTACTGTTTGCTCGTAATACTGCGCGAATTAATGAAACGAAAACTGCTCATTTCCCTGACCGTCAAAGGGTTAAAAGGCAAAACTGGTTTTGCCCACTAGTCACTTTTATCATAAACACCGAAAAGGAGATGCTTATCTTACAGCAATATTTATTTACTTGATTTTTTAATTCAGGGGGTTAACAAAAATAATCAACTAAAGAGATTCCAATCGCGCAACCACGTAAGTTTTTTTTTCTCTTTCGACGCGTGTGCTTAGCATGAAAGTTAGTGATTGCGAAAACAGGTTCAATTTTAAATAATCAGATATGTCACAAATCTTTAGAATCTTTCAGTTGTGATCAAAGTTGATATTGAGTAATGAATATGTCGTCGACTTAGAAGTTAAGCACAATAAGCCGATTATATATACGTTTAGTTATTTACTATTGTCACTCAATTACAATAGAGATATTTAAATGTTAATAACAAAATTTTTTTCGTTGAGTTATGGAAATGTTGTTGTTGTGTCCAATCCTTCAGGATCTAGCGACAGCTAGATCAAATCCAAGAGACCGTGGACCCTAGCAAAATCAAGCACCAGAAGTGGGCTATCACGGATGTCCGCAAGAGCGAGCCCCAAGCAGTCGAGGATATGATCGGGGGAGGCCGGCATCAGATGGCACTTGGTGCACGTTGGAAAGACTTTGGGGCCGCATTCAAAGGTCATGCTTTTGAGGTGCCCACTGATAAATCTTATAGAATGGTACTGATAAATCTTATGGAAATGTTGGCTTCTTTAATACAAATTCTTTAACATTATTAAAACATTACATATTTATATATTAACTTTACTTACATATTTATAACTTTACTATATTTATAACTAGTTTGTAATGTAAGCTCAAGGCTACATTATAAACTTTACTTATTTATACAAAGCATGCTTTTTCAACTAGTGCTTTATTTTTTTTTTATTTAAAAATGAGGTATATAATATGAAGCGCCTTTTAATTATTTTGGTATTACTAGATTACATCTTCAGAGAAGCATAATTAAAAAAAAATACAATTTTTAAAGTTCGTTCTGTTAAACTTATGTTAATAAATTTCAAATAAAGATATTTTTTGAAATTCAAATAAATATTTAGTTGCACTAAATTTTGACTCAGTAACTCGAATCGATTGCTAAATCCATATGGTTTTTACGAGGACAAGTTTTATTTCGATTTAGAGTGACTCTTTTTCCTTAGATTTTTCCTACGTTTCTTTTTCCCGTCAGTCTTCATCTAAATGTAGTTTTTTTTTTTGTGAAATGTCTTACAGAATATTTCTAACAGAGAAATAATTGAAAGATTTGTATTATAACATGATATGCAGAAAATTACTAACAGAGAAATAATTGAAAGATTGTATTATATTAAGTTATGCAGAATATTACTAACACAGAAATAATTGAGAGATTAGAAATGATCATATTCTTGATCGCTTCTCGAAACATAATTTTTATGAGCATCCACATAGTTTATTGATTTCTCGAAAGTATACGACATCATGGACTTTAGCAACAACTAAAATAGTAAGACTAGATAAAATTGTAAGAAACATTTGTGAAAATAGGTCTTACGAAACGATTTCTGTTCCATAATTGAAATATTTGATGTGGTTCAGTTTAAAAAAAAACAAAATCTGTACATCACAAGACAACTTTTAAAAGTTAAATATTTTTCTTCAAAGATACAAATAACTTCTAAATTTCCCTCTCACCTAAATACAATGGGTGTTAAAAAAATGATTTTCGTAGTAAAGAACGTAAATTGTTTTCTACAATCAATGACTTCTTGGTCTGTATATGTTTCGGCATTTCTTCGCGAAAGAATCATAAACCATTTTGTCTGGGCATTTATCTGTTTCAAAACTGAAAAGCCTAACAAAGAAGTCCCCTAAGGGCAATAACAGGATACTCATCGTCCAACGCGCAAACCATGTCATCCATATTCTCATAGTTGCAAATGGCGCAATGTGGATTTCGGTAATACGCGTAACTGTTATCTATTCGAATTCTAGTCAGAGCCATATACGCCCCGCACTTCTTTTTTACATTTGCATTTGGATAACTCGACGCACATTCTGAAACTATTCCAAAACCGTAACAATATGGCAAAATGTCTTCTAATCCTTCCGGTATTGAAGTCCACAGACTGACATGGGAGTTGTCATCCAAGACCCATGCCCGGGAATCATACACGTAATCACGCAGGATCGGTATTGAATCTGATTTGTTTACTTTTTCTAAATCACCTCCAAAGGCAACATCCCATGGTATTAGTCGCTCTTTACCTGAGTTTTCATTGCAAGCGAAGCAGTAGTAGTTCTGATAAGTGATACCTGTCAGAGGATCAGTGACAGGTGTAGCCAAGAAAGGATCAGAATTAATTTCTGCTAAAGCTGAGTAGCTGCAGAGTTCTTTCATGGTTTCGGAATGCCGCAAATCAGGATTGCAACTCCTAATAAAGGGGTACAGAAATTTGCGATTATGGCTTATCACTCTGCATTCAAGGTTCTTCTGATTTTTTCGCTTAAATTTTCGTTTGTATTTCGAATCTGCGCAGCACGTGCCATGAAGACCGCAAGTCTTTTCACAGTTGCAGTTGTATTTCCAGGCTTCGTTTGATCTGGGAACTCTACAAGAATCCAAACCATTGCATGTTGCATCCACATCTCTGATATCCTGATATACTACATCAGTCCTCTGCATCCAGCAGAGTTTTGTACTTGTCCAAAGCAGTAGCACAAATGTTGGTAATGATTTCCTTTGAATCTGCATGGTTGGTTTTACCTAAAAAATAAGAATTATTAATAGTTTAAAATTATTGCATTAAAGTAAGACCGGGGCACAAGATTACAATACAACAAGTGTGCAGTAGTTGCCCTCCAACTCAAAGCTACCTCTTAAAAGAATTGAATTTTTCATGTCTTTTAAAGGGGGATAAAATAAAACGTTTTCCCTGAACTTCATATGAGGTAATAGTTCATTTGAGGTTAATTCATCGAGGTAAAATGCCTCTTTCCTATTTACACTAGCGTGGTATTCTCTATACACTGTTTTATGTGGTAAAGTACAATTCTTCGTTATGTTTGTTATGCAGAAATGTTTCTTATTTTAATTGTGTGTGTATGAGATTCATTTCCACATCCGGGCAAAAAATAATAAAATACAAAAAACTTATTCAAATAACAACATAAAATTTAAAAAAAAAACAATGCTAACCATGACAAGCTCAAAACGTTGAAATATTTTAAAATACATTTTGTTATTAGAAAATTATTTAAATTTTCGATGTAATGTAAAATAAAACAATAAATAAACAATGCAAATAGGAAAATAAAATTTAAAAAAAAAACAATGCAAACCGTGACAAACTCAAAACGTTGAAAGATTTTTAAATGCATTTGTTATTAGAAAATTATTTAAATTTTCGAATTTTAAATTCTGTAATTCTATTCAACCTTTCTTTTCCTGCAAATGATGTGGAAAAATTGTGAGATAATTAAGGAAAAAAACTGAATGGAGAAAGCTGCTTGCTTGTTGTTATGTATTCTTACGGCCAAGGGACAAAATTCTTGAACATTTTGTGATTTTTCATTTATGTAGAAAAAAAAATTCAAACTTTAAAACTGCAAGATGAATTCGTAATGCTTGTTGAATTGTCTTATAAAATTAAGGAAACAATAGATTCAAACAAGACATCATAACAGAGATTTAAAATAATCGGCATTAGCTTCACTACACTTTTGCCATTGACTGTAAACAGCAAATATTGAGACTGTACATAAACTCTTCTGTCGGTATTGCTTAAAATACTGTAATCACGTGTATACGCTAACTTAGGGTATATCTTTCTGTTTAATTCTAAAGCACTTAAACTTCCAAAGAACACACTTTCACTAACACTTCACTCATTTTCATAGTCACTTTTAAAAATTTGAATTGTCCTTCATGCTTTGTTCTTTTTTGATTCTCATACTTGAGGTGTTCAATTATGAAAAGATTTTTTTTCATTATTACGGCACACTGTAGTGAAAATAATTTTGAAGATATAAAAAATTCGTGATGAAGGTTTTATAATTGAAGAAGTTGGATTTGATTGGTGGAAGGCAGTATTAGTAGAATATTTATCCTCAAGATTATGATAAACCCTAGTTGAAGAATCAAGTTATGATAAATAATAGAAAGATTTTATTTTTGGAATAGGAATCTTCATTTTTATGTACAATGTGGAAAATAAAAAAAAAACAGACCTCCCTGAATAACTTTTCACCTAATGGTCAAATCTTCTCTTTCTGGGACGCAATCTTTTTGATTTAAGGGGGTGACCTCTGCCTATTAATTAGAGAAGCCAATAAAATTACGAAAGCAGACACAAAACGTACTTTCTCAAAATAAACATACCTTTATTTAGATGGATTCGGATTTCTGACCCCTAAAATATAGGGGGTATCGCGGAAATATGGTCCTTGTAGTATGGCCTGGAGGGTGGTCCTAAGTTTAGATCCCTTAATGCTAACTTTACCTTTTGCGTATTTTATCTTACCTTGAAAATATTTTAAGCGCAAATTTTATAAAATCAATTATAAAATTTATTTATCCAAAGATAATTCTATGAAAAATAACTTTTATTAAATATTTATTATTTTTTATTATTTTATTTAATAATAGTCGAAACGTTTTTAAATTGTAAAAAGAAATTTTTTACATCATTTTAAATTGATGGAATTTTCCACTGCAAAATACGAAAGTCGGGAGAAGCCCGTTGAATTTTTCTTAAAAAATCAAATTTTAAGTGTCTGCCTTTTTTAAAATTTGATCAAGCTTTAAGTATCTGCCTTTTTTAAAACTTGATTTTTCAGAAACTAATCAACCGATTTCGCTCAAATTTTATATTCTGCCGTGTAAATTTACATTCTTTAAAGTGATGTAAAAAATTTTATTCTTTACAATTCAAAATTATTAAATAAAGTCATAAAAAGTAGCAAATATTTAATAAAAGTTATTTTTTTGCATGAAATTATGTTTGAATAAACAAATTTTATAAGTGTGTGGAAAGATTTTTCAATTCGCTTAAAATGTTTTCGAATAATGGCAAAATACTCAAAAAGTTAAAAAAAAGTACGTATTTGTCTTCTGATTTAGTAACTAAAAATATCGTCCGTACTAATTAGTATATTTGAGGTAACCTTTCCGAATCATTAGGAATGCGTCCTAGAACGTGAAGATCCGTTCATTAGATCAAAAGTTATTATGGGTGGTCCTTTTTTTATTTTACTTTCTATACACTTAAATTATTAAATATAATAAATTTTGAAAATGGTGAGGAGGATTTGGTTGCTGGGCTTAGCTTCCTCACGATATTTTATAAGTAGTTTGCGCAGACTATTTAAAAAATGAACCAGTTGTGCACACTGAACTCAAATTCTATTTTAAAAGTTATTGTGAGAAATTTACCATACATATTTGACAATTGGGGGGGTAATCTGTAGTGGCTGACAAGTAATTTAAAACAAACCAATAATATTCATTAATTTAACAAATTTTTACACATTGCTACCACTTTCTTATTTATACTAGATTTTTATTCAATGGCTCTTTCGTAACAAGTTGGCCATCATAGTGGTCTTATGAGACTAACCATACGAAAACGTGTGGAGGCTTTCAGTTATAGGAGGCGTTGCTACTACCCTGTATTCCCTAAACTATAATTTTCTTAAGTGTAAAGGGTAGTTTTTCCATTGACAGTGATAAATATTTTCGAGTAGCAGTCTTATAATATGTATATCATTTTTTATTTACTAAATTCCATTTATAGGGTATTTACATACCACTACATCGAAACAATTCAAACTCTTTTGTGCTACGCCACGTTATTACAGTTTAGAGGTATTAAGCCTCTTAAAAAGTCTGCAAAAGTTACCGAAAATCAGCAAATTTTAGTTCGTAATTTTTTAGCTTTTTGTTTCAAAAATATTTTATCGATTCTGAAATTGTTGACAATTTTGCATAATTTTTTTCAATTTTGAAGGCTATTTTAAGGTATTGTATTTTTAATTGTGTATAATTAATGGCAATTGAATTAGCCAGTTTAAATAATGTTTTATTTTCATGAAAAATAATTCATTGAATTAAAAAAACATATTCTTCTTTGGTCATCAACTTAGTAGTATTAAAAAGAAAGAGGTGAAAGATACCGTAGAAATAGTATTGCGGTGTTTCCTCCACTGTGAATTACAGCCACCAAATCGTGCTATGATATTTGTCTAAAGTACAATTTGTCATTGTAAAGAATGACTAAGGAATATAATAATTCTTATATTTCATACATTGCCTAAAAACACCAGGCATATTGTTTATTGCTTTCAATATATATTTTAGTATGACCCAGCGTGCAAAGTTTTGAGCATTTCGTACAATTTTATCATTTAAAAAATATATTTTTTAGGAAAAGTGTGATATGTTTGCATACCTTTGCAAAGCTATTGTATGTGTAAGAATAGAATTAAATTTACCCAAGTAGATTAAAGTTTTTAAATTAAATTAAGAAATTATCTGAAATTTAAGAAATTCTGTTCAAGAAATCTTGTGAAAAGTGTTTTGGCTTATAAGTATTTTATTATTTGAGACTACTAGATTTTACCAAAGTGTGAAGTAATAGACTATAAAAATGTTCTACAATATGCTAAAAATAATTTAAAAATTAAAGTTAAGCATAGTTACGTAATAATTAAAAATAAAGCAAAAAATTTATGAAATTTAATTTTTGAAATCTTTTATGTCATTAATGTGTTTGTTTTCTTCAAGGCCACATATTTCTACATAAAAATCACCTTTTTGCCATTACTTACAGTTCGGATCTTAGAAGAATATGTATTCAAAATTAAATATATAAAAAAAATAAACGCATTTTTAAAATATATTTTAACAAACCATTTTTTAAAAAATCATCGTTCTATTTCAATTTAATATAAATGAAGGAGTTATTTAAATTGTGAATTAATTCCACTAGTTCGAAAATTTAGCTAGCTTACCTGCAGAGTTGCAATACGTAAAAAAAATAATACAAAAAGACAGTTTATTATCTCAGAAAAAACCAGGCCTTTTTAAAAAACAAAATTTTACTTCATATTTTCATTTTCAAGAGATAATAAATTGGCACATTAAAATAACGCTGATAATCATACACATAGCTGCCAACTCTTCCGGTTTTCCCGGAAGATTTTAATTTTGTATTTTATGTGGTACCGAAATTCCTGTTATTTCACTAAACTTTTTGAATTATAATAATAATTTTAAATAAGTTTGACCACCACTACATATAAATAATTACAACAAATGTATAAAAGCATACTAAATATTTACGACAACGAATTTTAACCTAGTCAAAATATAAATATAGATCTGAGTAAGATTGTTTTTCGGTAATTGTTTTACTACCACTTGGAAAATTCATTCTCAGGAAGAGTGAAAGTTGACAGGTATGCATACATAAACTGACATCTAACTCAGTGAATTTACATTTTTTAAATAAGTAACTTAAGTCTTTTGCGAAAAGTTTTCTGACGAATGAGATGCTTTACTTCCTTTTTAATTTTCTGCTTAGTTTTTTATACTTATATTTTGAAAAAAAATAGAATTCCGCTTCATGCGTCTTCTTTCATATCTTACGTTAGAGATAAAAAAAAATAGGATTTTTTTTTCAAGGATCGTAATATATTTTCTGATATTTTGGGGAAAATGTTAAATCGTGTAATAAAAGTGCACAATATTTTTAATTAAATTATGCATCTAAAAATATTATATTTAAAATCTAACTTTTGATAAAGACTAAGTGAAATATTAATTTAAAAAATAATTAAATTTATTTCAATTATTTTGAAGCTGCTCAAATGCAAGTGCTACCTAAAATGCAAATGCCACTCAAATGCAAAGGCTACCTTTTTCTTACATTGCAGTTGCTATGTTGCATACCTTGAGCAAAATAATAAAATCAGTTCTATAATAACTCTATGTAAACAATCTTTTTTTAGCTACAAATGTTATGGAAGATTTTACATAGCAAAACTGTTGGTACAGTTTGAAAGATAATGCTTGAAACTATTGCAATGTTATTTTCATACCCACGCAAAATTTACATCTACCAAATTGAGCGATAAAACTTAAAACCTTTTTCCTTTTTTTATACCACTAGAAGAACAAAAGTATTCTTATATAAATATGTATTAAAATAATTTATTTCGAATAATCTAGCTAATTCCTGTAACTAAAGTGTAGAGAGCAAAATGGCAGGAGTGGTAATTACCAGGAGGGCCGGGTCTCTACTTTAACAGAGCCACACTTACTTACACACATTCTTTTAACTCGTCCCACCTTTGTATGTATTCCCAAACTTTAAATATTCATTGGTGTTTGCTTTCTCGTTGTACTTTAATCCCTTGGGGACGGATGATTCAGAAAAGTATTCGTACAACATCAGAATCAAGTTATAATCAAATATAAACGGTAAATGTGGTAGTTGCTAATTTGACGGACTTACTTTGCTTTTACTTTAATTATTGCTAGTTTAATCATATATATAATCAATGTTAACACAAAATATAATTAAATACTTTTATTTTGAACATAGTAATAGTGAATTAAATAAATCAAACAATTGTAACTCTGCCCACAATTAAACTGCTAAAGAATTACTTTGATCACCAGTTTTATCTTTTTACCCTGATTGATACGGTTTTATGCTGGCACGAATTTGTGGCAGTCGGCGTGAAAGGGTTAATTTTACCTTTTTTCATGCACTTTTTTATTACTTGTATTTTTGTTATTACCTTATAATGGCAGAGTGCCATTTTTTTTTCTCTCGCGAACTCCATTTGTCTCTCCAAACTTTATTTTTGTCATGTATGTTTCTTCGTCTAATTTCAGGATGCATGGGAAAAGGGCCGTAAGGCCTCAATCGCCCAGTTCCACTACAACGAACGAATGATTTCGAAATTGCGGTTAAAACAAGCAAAATACTAAAAACTTCCCCTCCTTATTTTTTATCGATACGAAAATGGCATGATTAAAATTAGAACACCATTTCTAAAAGTTTCAAGCATGGTCTTTCAAACTATGCAAACCGTTTTGCCATGTAAAATCTTTCAATATATTTGCTTTTAAATGAAACATTGTTTACGTAGAGTTCTTAAAGGAGTGTTCTCATAATTTTGTCAAACTCCGTATCTCTCGATTCATAGTTTAAAGATCAGATTTACTTATCTTCAAAATTCCACGCTTATTTCTCCGAAACTACAGTTCTTTTTCCCTGTCTTTCAAAAACAGTGGGTTGTTTTTGCAGCATTTCTTCCCTGTCTCATTCAAACACCTCATTTCTAACTTTTTATGAATTTTTTATTTTAAATCTTCAGACGTTTATTAAAGTTATCACTTATCTAATCACCGTCACCTTTTTTCTGCAGCCAAGAAAAAGACACTCCATATCGGACATTAATATCCAAAACAACATTTACATTTTCCGGAAAGAGTTTCCTTTAGCAGTCGTTAAATAAGAATTGAATTGGCTAATGTAAGTAGAGTTATTTCACTTAATAATACTATTATATTTAACATTATATGATACTTAACATAACCTCCCTTTTTCGGTGTTCTGTAAATTTCTCCTCGTTTTCTCTACATTTTGAACTTATATATAAGGAAATCTTAGTAATTGCAATTGGTTTATTAAATAAATAGCGCGATTCTCAAAAGAGCAAAGGAAATATGTCTTACTTTTAATTAATGCATGCTTGAACCAAAAATAGATTAAAGGACATGATGTGAATTTAAAAGTGTGAGAAAGTGCTTCCATTAGAATAATAAATTAAGAAAAGGATTTACAGAAAGAGAATATATATATATATATATATATATATAGCAAAGAAAATTTTAATAAACCTGTTNAAAAATTATATATATATATATATATATATATATATATAAATTATTCTCGCTTTATGGTAGTGAAAAACATTATAGATTAAATTTATTAATTATCAATCTTTTGGCAAACGAAGAAAAAAAAATACTCACATTACCCATTGACAGAGTAGACACTTTCCATACAAATTTGAAAATTGGTAGAAAAAGATCGAGGAAGCAAAATGGTTAAACTAATTACCATTGGCTAAAAGTAATTTCTAATGCAGCAGAGATGCCAACTGCTCCGGGCACGCCAAAATAATTAATAAAACGGTAAATAGTTATTAAGTATATTTTGCAAACAGTTAACTATTTTTGCTTGCTTTTTAAGAGGTATGGCATGGTGTAAGTCTACGAAAGTGGTGAATTATATATGCCTACGAATTATTTAGAAATAGTGGAGGATAAAAATCTACTAAATTGAATTTATTAAACCAAGAATCACAATTGATAAACTACCACTTTAAAATGTATATTTGCTGTCCGGAGCAAGTTGGCATCTCTGATACAGTCTGAAACTAATGCCTAAAGAATTTACCATAACCTTAACAAGCTAATGCTACCAGTTTTTAAAATTTTCCAGACTGTATATCCACCATGTTTAGGAAACTATATCTCACAATGAGTAACAGAGATGGAGATAATTTAAATAAGACTTTTATTTATTATTCTAAAATGAAATAACAATAATACTGTATATACCTCACCTTCCAATAAAGCTAAAATGCCAGAACTTCCGTTGTAATAATTGATATTTACGTAATTGAGCAATACGTACGACGTAAAAAATTATCAAGCATCCTCTTCACAGAATATTCCAACGCATGCGTGAAGATTCAAAACTATGCAGGGATTGTCAGTATGAATAAGAAACTAAAACCTGACTGGGCGGGTCTTCATTAGGTCTTCATAGATCATTAGCAAGGTGATTGTGACTAGAATTAAGAAGTGTATTTTCACTGCTTTGAAATGACTTATTGAAATATAAATATGGAAATTGCTTCAAAATTTGACTTTTGTGTTATGTTTCCTTGTTAAACTTCTACAGTTATTTTTAAGAAATGAATTATTACAAATGACTTAACGCTGAAAGCACTGTATCTGCAACTATTTATGCAGTCAACGAACGATTAAAAAGGGCCTTGGGGAAAGAAATTACGTGGGCCCTTCTCAACCAACCGAAATATATTTCTTTAATTAATCGATAGGAAACAGAAATGAAAAATTGAACACTGTCGTCTAACATTAAAAATGCACCTAATATCTGAATTAAAATGCATCTTCTTTCTACTAATAAATGCAGCAAAATGATATTGCTGCAATGAAACAGTGGTTAAGATACTGAACTGACATTGTGAAGAACTGGTAATGAAGTGGCTTGAAGCCCACCCAGCTTGTCTGGGAAGTAAAGGCAGCCTGTGCACGGTGCTGACCACATTGCCGCAATCATGCCGTTTGCTTCGAAATCATGGAGGCTTAACCTCAATGACTCCCCTGGCCCACAGCGAGCTGTTGCGGGAATGTTTTATTTTTACCTGATATTTTAAGCTGACTTAGAGTAAAAAAAAGGCATCGACAGTCTCTTACTGAATTCAGGTAAAAGTACACCTACTACGCAATATTTTAAACTGATTTTGAGTTAAAATTGCATCCACTACCTGACATTTTAATTTGATTTTGAGTAAAAATTACCTGCCTAAGCTCGCATATGCTACCATTTTTTAAATCCTGTGATAGATTTCATCTATTACCTGGTATTTGAAACAAATTTTGAGATAAAATTGAATATATTGCCAGGTAAAAATCACATGTACTACCTATTTTTAAATGCAGAGAAAAAAACACCTATTAACTGATCTTATAAACTGATATTAAATAACAAAAAACACATCCACTGCCAGCTACTAAATACAGTGAAAAAATTTATCTGCTACCTTATATTTTTAAACTGATTTTGAATTACATTTGGTTCGCTAATTTTAAATATTGAAATTTATCATCAATGTAAATTTAAATTTTTATTGCAATTTTGTTGAATCTACATAAAAAATAGTTGAATTTTGCAGAGATGTGCATTGAATCCTTTAAAATATGCCTTTAGGGGAGAAATTGTTTTCTTATTTAAGCAAGAACTCGAAATTTGATGTGTTGATTTTAAGTAAGAAAACAGTTTTAAACATGGAAGCAATTTGAAAGGAAAAAGTTTCTAAACAAAAGAAATTCTAATAAAAAAATTCCAATGCGAATTTTGTAGCAGACATCAATTTTAAAATTTAAGGCTCCATGTGAAACCGTGTAACAAATTCCTTATAACTGTGAATCATATGACATTACCGAACCTAGTAAAAATTTCAAAAAGTAAAGTGCTAAAATAGAAAATTTTAATTAAAAATAAGTACTTTAAATCATTTTTTATAACTAAAATAATTAATTATAGTAATACTCATTAATTCATTAAAGAGTGATTAAATATTTAATTAAATACAGATTTATCTCATTTCCAAACTGATTTCTTGTGATTGGGCTAATATGGTAAAAAATGCATTTTGACCCTTAAATGTGCCATTTATTTCAAGTAGAGGTAAAATAAAGTATTTTTGGAATTGAAATTGTTTTAAGAATAGTAATTGATGTAAGAAGAAAAAAACTCATTTAGTGTAGAAAAATGCCATTTTTAATAAAAATTAATGCCATAATAAATAAGAACAATATGTTCCGAATAACGCTTGCTATCTTGGAAGTTGCAGGTTCGAATCTCACCGTAAACATGGTAAGATCGTTCTCTAACTTTTACTTTCTGTTCTCTAATTGAACAAAGGCTGATAAAAATTTACACGCAAATAAGGTGTAACTGTCAATGAATAATTAAAAATTGATTTGAAGTTTAAGTGTTGGTTAATGGATAACGCCAAATTTTCCAAGCCAAATTCTATGTGGGATTTCATTTTTACATTTAAAGTGGTAGTAAATTTATCCATTATTTTAATTATTTGAAATAATAAATTTAAATTAAAATTATTTGAACTACCAATATACATAAATAAATTAACAATTCATGAAAAGAAAAAAAAAAAAAAANAAAAAAAAAAAAAAAAAAAATCATGATTGTCTTATAAATTGAATGAAGAGCCATTACTGACGGTGGTCACCACAAGGATCAAAATGTTAGCAATTGTGGCACTCTTCTTTCAATATTGAAAACAATCATGATCTTATATGTTCCAATTTCAGGCAGAAACATAAATTGTATTATGGTAGAGCTTTAGTAGACTGCCACTACACTATTGCGTATTAATTATTAATCTGCGCGTAAATTTTTTAAAAATAGTGGTGGTCAAAAACATAATATTTAAGATTATAAATGTGAAGAATATATAGAAAGCATACATTTTACTACCACTTCAAACGTAGAAATAAAATTTTACGCCAAATGCGTAAACGTTGGCAGGTATGAGATTCAGACAAAATTAAAAACAAAAACTCTATCTACAGTTGTAAATCAAATATCGTCTTACTGCTACTTGGGAAAAGAATTATTTGGCAAGATAATAAGTAGGCAGGCCATTAGGATACATTTCCTTCCACAAGCAAACGATGACAGCACTGCTCGTATTATTATTTGAAAAAAGTTCTTAATGATAATTACGCTTGGGTATTATTAGAAAATAAAACTAAAATACCTCTCATCTTCTAAAGCATTAAATTTTTACTGATTACTTAAGTATAAAACTTTTTTTCTTATGATTAAAATGTATCCAACTTGTTTAGTGACGTCCAATGTTAATAAAACTAAGCCTGTATTCATTGTATTTCACGTTAAGGTGCAAATTTCAAAATCCATAGAAGTAAGCACAATAATTTAAAAAAATGAAACAGCCTCCTCTTCTCGCCGAAGTATTTAAATTAAAATTTATATAAATCAAGCATTTACCGTCTAAGAACTGAAAATCTGTCAGTTACTTAAAAGGCAAAACTGGTTTTGCCCACTAGTCACTTTTATCATAAACACCGAAAAAGAGATGCTTATCTTACCACAATATTTATTTACTTGATTTTTTAATACAGGTGGTTAACAAAGATATCAGAATAATCAACTAAAGAGATTCCAAGTGCCCAACCACTTAAGTTTTTTTTTCTTTTGACACTTGTGTTTAGTATGAAAGTTGATGATTGCGAAAACAGATTCAATTTTAAATAATCAGATTTGTTTTCAATCTTTAGAATCTTTCAGTTGTGATCAAAGTTGATACTGAGTAATGAATAAGCCTTTGATTTAGAAGTAAAGCACAATAAGTCGATTATAAATACGTTTTGTCATTTGCTATTGTGACTCAATTACAATAGAGATATTTAAATGTGAAAAACAAAATTTGTTTCGTTGAGTTATGGAGATGTTGGCTTCTTTAATACAAATTTTTTAACATTATGAAAACTTAACATATTAACTTTACTTACATATTTATAACTAGTTTATATTGTAGGCTCAAGGCTACATTATAAACTTCACTTATTTGTATAACAAGCTATACAAATAACAAGTTGTACATATAATGCTCTTTCAACTAGTTCTTTTTTCTTTCTTTTTTTAAATTAAGTTATTAAAATGAAATGCTTTTTTTTAGTATTTTTAATATATCACAAGATTATATCATTAGATATACATAATTAAAAAAACAATTTTCAAAGTTTATTCTGTTAAACATTTATGTTAATAAATTCTTAATAAAGTTATTTATTGAAACTCAAATAAATATTTAGTTACATTAAATTTGGACTCAGTAACTCCAATCGATTGTTAAATCCATATGATTTTTACGAGAACGGCTCATTCCATTGTTAAGTTTTGCTTTGATTTAGAGTGATTCCTTTTTCCTGTGATTTTTCCTACGTTTTTTATCCGTCAGTTTTCATCCAAATGTAATTTTTTTGTGAAATGTCTTACAGAATATTTCTAACAGAGAAATAACTGAAAGATTGTATTACATCATGATATGCGGAATATTACTAACAGAGAAATGCCGACCGGCCTGTGTAGGGGTTAGGGAACTGCCCCTGCATCAGGAAGATTCTGACTTCGAATCACGGGCCTGGCATGGATGTTCTTTACTTCTCTGTACTATCTGACCTTACTGTGGGAGCAGCGTTGGCCCACCTTATATAATGCCCCTGAAAGAGTGGCCAACAAATCTGTCCTTCAGGTGCCTGCATGACCTAGGTCATTATCCAAGTGGGCATTGGAAGAAGAAAAAAACTAACAGAGAAATAATTGAGAGATTAGAAATGAACGTATTCTTGATCACTTCTTGAAACATAATTTTCATGAGCATTTGCAGATGTTTATTAATTTCTCGAAAGTGTACAACATCATATAATTAGTCTAGCTCGGCTAGACATGGACTTTAGCAACAACTAAAATTGTAAGACAAGATAAAATTGCAAGAAGCATTTGTAAAAATAGATCTTACCAAACGATTTCTGTTCCATAATTGAAATATTTGATGTGGTTCTGCTTAAAAAAAATCTATACATCACAAGACTACTTTTAAAAATTATAATGATAAATATTTTTATTTTAAGATACAAATAACTACTAAACTTCTAAATTTCCCTCTCACCTAAATACAATGGGTCTCAAAAGAATTATTTTCTTATCATAGAAAGTGAATTGTTTTCTACAATCACTGTCTTCTGGCAAGAATTATTTTCTTATCATAGAACGTGAATTGTTTTCTACAATCACTGTCTTCTTGCAAGAATTATTTTCTTATCATAGAACGTGAATTGTTTTCTTCAATCACTGTCTTCTTGCTCTGTATATGTTTCGGCATTTCTTCGCGAATGAATCATAAACCATTTTGTCTGTGCATTTATCTGTTTCAAAACTGAAAAGCCTAACAAAGAAGTCCCCAGAGGGTATTAATCCGCCTGGTGCACTAACAGGATCTTCACCGTCCAACACGCAAACCATGTCATCCATATTCTCATAGTTGCAAATGGCGCAATGTGGATTTCGGTAATACGAGTAACTGTTATCTATTCGAATTCTAGTCAGAGCCATGTACGCCCCGCACTTCTTTCTTACATTTGCATTTGTATAACTCGACGCACATTCTGAAACTATTTCAAAACCGTAACAATACGGCAAAGTGTCTTCTAATCCTTCCGGTATTGAAGGCCACAAACTGAGATGGGTGTTATTGTCATTATCCAAGACCCATGACCAGAAATCTTTCTCGTAATTACGCAGGATCGGTATTGAATCTGATTTGTTAACTTTTTCTAAATCACCTCCTACGGCAACGTCCCATGGTATAAGTCGCTCTTCGCCTGAGTTTTCATTGCAAGCGAAGCAGTAGTAGTTCTGATAAGTGATACCTGTCAGAGGATCAGTGACAGGTATAGCCAAGAAAGGATCGGCATTAGTTTCTATTAAAAATTTGTTGGTGCAAAGTTCTTCCATGGTTTTGGAATGCCGCAAATCAGGATTGCAACTCCTAATCCAGGGGTACAGAAATTTGCGATTATGGTTTATCACTCTGCATTCAAGGTTTTTCTGATTTTTTCGTTTGAATTTTCGTCTGTATTTTGAATCTACGCAGCACGTGCCATAAAGACTGCAAGTCTTTTCACAGTTGCAGTTGTATTTCCAGGCTTCATTCGATCTGGGAACTCTACAAGAATCCAAACCATTGCATGTTGCATCCACACTTCTGATATCCTGGTATGTTACATCAGTCCTTTGCATCCAGCAGAATTTTGTGCTTGTCCAAAGCAGTAGCACAAATGTCGGTAATGATTTCCATTGAAACTGCATGGTTGATTTTATCTAAAACATAAGTATTATTAATAGTTTAAAATAATTGCATTGAAGGAAGACCGGGTCACAAGTTTACAATACAACAAGTGTGCAGTATTTGCCCTCCAACTCAAAGTTACCTCTTAAAAGAAGTTAATTTTTCATTTCTTTTAAAAGGGGATAAAAATAGAAAATAAAATAAAACGTTTTCCCTAAACTTCATTTGAGGTAATAATAGTTCATTTGCGGTTAATTCATTGAGGTAAAATGCCTTTTTCCTATTTACACTTGCGTGGTATTCTCTACGCAGTTTTATGTGGCAAAGTGCAATTCGTCGTTGTATTTCTTATGCAGAAATGTTTGCTATTTTAATTGAATGAGATTCATTTCCACATCCGATAAAAAATAATAAAATACAAAAAAAATTATTCAAAAATTAAAAAAAAATGCAAACTCTAACAAATTCAAAACGTTGAAATATTTTTAATTGCATTTTGTTATTAGAGCGGTGTTTAAATTTTCGATGTAATGTAAAATAGAACAATAAAAAAATGCAAATAGGGAAACAAAATTTAAAAAAAACAATGCAAACCGTGACAAACTCAAAACGTTGAAAGATTTTTAAATGCATTTGTTATTAGAAAATTATTTAAATTTTCAAATTTTAAATTCTGTAATTCTATTCAACCTATCTCTTCCTGCAAATGATGTGGAACAATTGTGAGATAATTAAAGAAAAAAACTGAATGGAAAAAGCTGTTCGCTTGTTGTTATGTGATCTAACCGTAATCTGAGGCATAAAATTCCTGAACATTTTGTAATTTTTCGTGGAAAAAAGATATAATATTAATTTTTTTCAAACCTTAAAAATTACAAGATTAATTCGAAATGCTTGTTGAATTGACTTATAAAATTAAGGAAATAGTAGATTAAAACAAAACACCTTAACAGAGATTTAAAATAATCGGCATTAGCTTCACTACACTTTTGCCATTGGCTGTAAACAGCAAATATTGAGACTGTACATAAAATCTTCTGTCGGTATTGCTCAAAATACTGTAATCACTTGCATGAGCTAACTTAGGGGATATCTTTCTCTTTAATTCTATAGCATTTAAACTTCCAAAGAGCACACTTTCAGTAACACTTCACTCATTTTCATAGTTACTTAATAAGTTTGAAGCAAACTTGTCTTTAGGCTTTGATCTTTTATGCTTCTCACAATGATAGATTTTGTTTCATTGTGCTGTTATGTAAACGGCACACTGTAATAAAAATAATTTTGAAGATATAAAAAATTTATGATGAAGGTTTTATGATTGAAGAAGTTGGATATTTATCCTCAGTATTAGTAGAATATTTATCCTCAAGATTATGATAAACCCTAGCTGAAGTATCAAGTTATGATAAATAATAAAAAGGTTTTATTTTTGAAATAGGAATCTTCTTTTTAATGTACAATGCGAAAAATAAAAAACAGATCTCCCTGAATAACTTTTCATCTATTGGCCAAATCTTCTCCTTCTGGGACTCTATTAAGGGGGTGACCTCTGCCTATTAATAAGGGAAGCCAATAAAATTACGAGAGCAGACACAAAACGTACTTTCTCTAAATAAATATACCTTTTTTTAGATAGATTCGGATTTTTGACCCCCAAAAAATAGGGGGTAGCTGCAATCTCCGAAATATGGTCCTTGTAGTACGGCCCGGAGGGTGGTTCTAAGTTTAGATCCCTTAATGTTAGCTTTACCCTTTGCGTATTTTATCTTATCTAGAAAAAATTTAAGCGCAAAAAATTTTTTTGCTCACAATTATAAAATTTGTTCATCCAAAGATAATTCTATGAAAAATAACTTTTATTAAATATTTATTATTTTTTATTATTTTATTTAATAGTAGTCGAAACGTTTTTAAATTGTAAAATGTAATTTTTTACATCCTTTTAAATTAATGGAATTTTCCATTACAAAATACGAAGCCGGTTGAATTTTTCTTGAAAAATCGAATTTTAAGTGTCTGCTTTTTTTTAAAAATTTGATTTTTCAGAAACTATTGGACCGATTTTGCTCAAATTTCATATTTTTACATGTAAAATTACATTCTTTAAAATGATGTAAAAATTAGATTCTTTACAATTCAAAATTATTAAATAAAATAATAAAAGTAATGAGTACTTAATATAAGTTATTTTTGGTATGGAATTATGTTTTAAAAAAAAACAAATATTAAAAATGAGTGGAAAGATTTTTCAATTCACTTAAAATATCTTCGAATAATGGTAAAATACTCAAAAAGTAAAATTAACATTAAGAGGTCCAAACTTCAGATTTCCCAGGCGACCAAACTATTGGGGGTACATATTTCCCAGACTGCGCCTACGCCCTACATTTCAAAGGCCAGAAATCTTAATCAGTCAAAAAAAGGTTTGTTTATTAAGAGAAAGTACGTATTTGTTTTCCGATTTATTAAATAAAATATCGTCCGTACTAATTAGCATATTTGAGGTTACCCAAACGAATCATTAAGTATGAGTCTAAGAAAGTGAAGATCCGTTCATTAGATTAAAAGTTATTATGGATGGTCCTTTTTTTAATTTTGCTCTGTCTGTACATATAATTATTAAATATAATAAATTTTGAAAATGATAAAGAGGATGTGGTTACAGAGCTAAGCCTCCACGCGGTGTTTAATAAATAGTCTGCGCAGACTATTTTAAAAGTGAACCAGTTGTGCACACGGAACTCAAATTCTACTTTAAAAGTTCATCATCATCAATATTTATCTGTGCGCCGGGGGCCGTTAGCGGCCTTTTTCCCATTGGTCTTGAATTGTGATTTTTAGGGTGGTTCTTTCTGGTAATTGGAATGCAATTGAAGTAAAAGGAATTCAAATATTTTGAATTTTAGATAAAATTACGTCACTACAAAAGTGAGCTGCCATCGGCCTGGGGTTTATGTCTTCTCTTAAGTTTTCAAAAGTAAAAATTTCGCTGAATCCCGCGGTGTCACAATTTATGTTTTTTTAAAAAAATCTGAAAATTAGCGTTGCAATATGATGATCTAAAAAATCTATGTTGAGATCGCGATGTATGTTTTTATTTCGGATAAACCATCTTGCTTTTGTTATTTTCCTGAGGATTTTGTTCTGGCATGTTTTGAGTTTTTTGAGGAGTGATGTGGAGATGTTGCACCAAGCTGGAGATGCATAAGTCAGGATGGGACGGATCATTGAGTTGTAAAGTAAACGTTTAAGTCTAAGTTCCATTTTGGGGTTCTGAAGAAGGATTTGTAATCTGTGGCAGGTTGCTTGTGCTTTGTTGATAACTGTTTTGACGTGATCTTTCCAATTAAATTTACTGTTAATGACCAGACCAAGGTATTTTGCGCTTTTGACTATGGGAATAATTTCATTAAAGAGAACAATTTGATTTTTGGGGAGGATGGTTTTTCTTTTATGCTGAATGATTAGTAGTTTTGATTTTTGTCCGTTTACTTTGAATTTCCAGTCTAGACACCATGTTTCGATTTCCTTCAGTTTTCCTTGGAGTTTTTGTAGGGCAATGTTGGGGTTTTTTGACTTAACTACGATTCCAGTGTCATCTGCCAAAAGTGCTGTGATGCTGTTAAAGTCTTGTTTGTCGACAGGAAAGTTTCGACAGGTAAATAATATGGGCCCAAGAATGCTCCATTTTAAAAGTAATTGTGAGAAATTTATCATATATACTTGAGAATTGAATCTGTAGTGGTTGACAAATAAATAGGAAAAACCTATAATATTCATTAATTAAAAAATATGTAGACATATATTTGCTACCACTTTCTTATTTATACTAGATTTTGATAAAAATGACACTTTCATCGCGGTCTGATCGGACTACCTATAAAAAACCGTGTAGAGGCTATTCCCTCTTAAATATCATTTTATTAAGTGTAAAGGGTAGTTCTTTCATTCACAGAAATACCAATTTGTTTTTGACAACGGATAAATATTTCTCGAGTAGCAGTCTTTTAACACGTTGAATGCCACGCTAATTTTACATGACTTGTCCGTCTGGCCACTCGGAAAATAACTACTAACTAAATTTGTAAATATTAGATAGAATTTGCTAGTTTTTTTAAAAGGTTTACTATGACATACATACAAAAAGTTGCTAATTCCATAACTCTACGAATTGTTTAGAAGTAGTGGAGGATAAAAATCTACTAAATGGAATTTATTAAACCAAGAATCACAATTAATAAATTCGAATTGAAAATATTTATTCGCTGTCCCGAGCAAGTTGGCATCTCTGTGTATATAAACAAAACTATTTTTGTGACTTCTATATAACATTAATTTCTTCAATACCAATTTAGTAACGATAATAATACAAAAAAATTAACAATTTACTCGAATTATGTGTTTCTAATAATCTTGGCTTAACCTGTCACCGGTGACCCCCGTAGGGTTACGAGCAAACTTAGTGCCGGTCACCGGTGACCCCTTGTCATTCAACGTGTTAATATGTATATCATTTCTGATTTACTAAATTCCATTCATAGGGTATTTACCAGAGTTGGCCAAAANGTTAATATGTATATCATTTTTGATTTGATTCCATTCATAGGGTATTTACATACCACTACATCTAAATAATTTTAACTCTTTTGCGTTACGCCACGTTATTACTGTTATGTCTTTTTGAAAATTTTGCAAAATTAACCGAAAATCTGCAAATTTTAGTTTATAGTTTTTTAGCTTTTTGTTTCAAAAATATTTTTTCGATTCTGAAACAGTTGGCAATTATGCATTTTTTTTTTAATTTTAAAGACTATTTTCCGGTATTGTCTTTTTAATCGTGTATTATTAATGGCAATTAAATTTGCCAGTTTAAATAATATTTTATTTTCATGAAAAATAATTAATTGAATAAATAAAAACATATTCTTCATTGGTCATCAACTTAGTAGTATTAACACATTGCTGACCGGTCACGAGGTAACTCGTGTTTTCGTGCACAAACGTTGGTGACTGGTCACGAGTTAACTCGTGTTTTTGTTAGCAGTGATCTCGTAGAGACTATTTTAAAAAGTGGGCGTAATATTCCTTACTTATCAAGTTTTACTATTTAAAATTCTGTACCAATTTATTATAACTTTATGAAACCGGATATATTTGCAAAATTTATGATGTACCATTACACATAGGTGTGATTGTTAACTGTTCATCATACGGCATTAAACATTAAAACTTTTTAAAGTTTATTTATATTGTTTTATTTCCATATCCGCTTTCAAAACAATAGCCGGGTACATGGGGTAATTTTCAGAAAAGTTGCCAGTCAGCAATGTGTTAAATATTCGACAACCAGACAACTAAATTCCTAATACAGTCTGAAACTAATGCCTGAAAAATTTACGATAACCTTATGAGGCTAATGTTACCAGTTTTTACATTTTTCCAGACAGTATAGCCACCCTGTTTAAGAGACTATATCTCACAATGATGAACAGAAATGGAGTTAATTTAAATAAGCCTTTTATTAATTATTCTAAAATAAAATAATAATAATACTTATATATACCTCGCCTTCCAATAAAGCTAAAACGTAAGAGCTTTCGTTGTTCGTAATTGAGATATGCGTACGACGTAAAAAAGATATCAAGCTTCCTCTTCACAGAATATTCCAACGCATGACTGAAGATTCAAAATTATGCAAGGATTGTCAGTGTGAATAAGACACTAAAACCTGACTGGGCGGGTCTTAAGATAATAAACAAGGTGATTGTGACTAGAATTAAGAAGTGTATTATTGAACTATAAATATGGAAATTGCCTCAAAATTTGACCTTTGTGTTATGTTTCCTTGTTAAACTTCTACAGTTATTTTTAAGAAATAAAATATTACAAATGACTTAGAGTTGAAAGCTCTATATCTGCAAGTATTTATCCAGTCAACGAACGATTAAAAATGGCCTTGAGGACAGAGAGTCTTTACGTAGGCCGTTTTCAACCAAACGAAATATATCTTTTTGATTAATCGATGGAAAAAAGAAATGAAAAATTACACACTGTCGTCTAGCATTAAAAATGCACCTAATATCTGAATTAAAATGCATCTTCTTTCTAGTAATAAATGCAAAAAATGATATTGATGCAATGATTCTGTGGTTAAGATTCTGAACTGCCATTGTGAGGAACTGGGATTTGATCCTGAGAAGTTGCTTGAAGCCCACCCAGCTTGCCTGGGAAGTCAAGGCAGCCTGTGCACTGTGCTGACCACATTGCCGCAATCATGCCGTTTGTTTCGAAATCATGGAGGCTTATCCTCCATGCCTGGCCCACAGCGAGCTACCTGCGGGAATGTTTTATTTTTACCTGATATTTTAAACTGACTTTGAGTAAAAAAAAGGCATCGTGAGCCTCTTACTGAATTCAGGTAAAAGTACACCTACTACGCAATATTTTAAACTGATTTTAAGTTAAAATTGCATCCACTACCTGACATTTCAATTTGATTTTGTGTAAAAATTACCTGTCTAAGGTCGCATATGCTACCATTTCTTAAATGCTGTGATAGATTTTACCTGGTATTTTAAACAAATTTTGAGTTAAAATTGAATATATTATCAGGTGAAAATCGCATGTACTAAATATATTTAAATGCAGAGAAAAAAGCACCTATTAACTGATGTCATAAACTGATATTAAACAAGAAACAGATCCACTACCAACTAATAATAAAATTTAAGGGTCCATGCGAAACTGTGTAACAAATTCCTTATAACTGTGAATCATATGGCATTACCTAACGTAGTAAAAATTTCAAAAAGTAACGTGCTAAAATAGAAAATTTTAATTAAAAATAAGTATTTTAAATCATTTTTTAAGAGTAAAATAATTAATTATAGAAATATTTGTTAATTAATTAATGAGTGATTAAATATTTAATTTATACAGATTTATCTCATTTCCAAACTGAACTCTTGTGATTGAGCTAATAAGATAAAAAATACATTTTAACCCTTTAATGGACCATTTATTTCTAGTAAAGGTAAATTAAGGAATTTTTGGAATTGAAATTGTTTTCAGAATAGTAATTGATGTAAAAAGAAAAAAACTCATTTAGTTTATAAAAATGCCATTTTTTGGTGGTAAATATATTTAACGTGACCTATTAGGAACTTAATGACTTTTATCTTTCTTTATTTATCAAATAAATTTTATAAATTTTCAAAAGAAATTATGTATTTAATAACTTTTATACGTTTTTTTAAACTAACACATGGTAACCAATTTTCTTCAAACGCCCTTCAAGAAAGTTGAAGTTATTAACAAATGGAAACCTGAATTAAAAGTAGTAAAAAAGTGGTGGTAAGTATACTTCCCACGGCCTTCGAAAGGATTAAATAAATGAGAATTACAAAATATACACTTAGACTAGCTTATGTATAATTTAACCCTTTAATGGACCATTTATTTCTACTAAAGGTAAACTAAAGTATTTTTTAAATTGTATAAGAATAGTAATTGATATAAGAAAAACAAACTTATTTAGTTTATAAAAATGCCATTTTTTTGGTGGTAAGTATATTTAACACGATCTATTAAGAACTCATTGACCTTTACTTCTCTTTATTTATAAAATAAATTCAGTAAATGCTACAATCTTCAAAAGGAATTATGTATTTTATAACATTTATACGTTTTCTTAACCTAAGAAATGGTTGCCAATTTTATTCAAACGCTCTTCAAGAAAGCTGAAGTTATTAACAAATGGAAACCTAAATTAAAAGTGGTAAAAAAGTCACCATAGACTTTATAAATTGGTAAATATACTTACCACGGTTTTAGAAAGGGTTAAAATGAAAATAAGCTCTTCAAATTTTAAGAAAGAAAAAACTAAATGTAATTAAAATAGGGAGCAGAGCTTTTTTATGAAAATCACGGTGATAGTCTCAGTTAATAAGGAAGCTTATTATTCTAGAATAAAAGTCTGAAATATATCTCACCTTCAGTGGAAATATTTGTATATATATTTCGTTAGAATAATAGCCTAATGATTAGAATTTTGATAACAGTCATTAAAATACATCCAAATCGTCTCCTTTTATGCGACGTAGAATAATTAATATGTTTTTTTTTTCTCGAAAAATATTTCAATGTCTGTTGCAAATATATGGTATGCGCTTGGGCAATCACCAACAAGACAAAACCAGATTCTCAGATATGTCTTTTGTATTTAAAATATAATTGACATGGCTTAAGGCTATGAAGTGTGCCAAGAATTAATTAGATTTTGTTTACTCTATGGAATTGAAAAATGTGAAGTAGTGACTATTTTCTTTTAGAGTTTACCTATAGTTAGACATTTGAGAAATATTTCCAATATGAGTTTTCTGCTGTTTTTCTCGTACACATAATTCTGATAATGATAGTTTACTGTAGATTTTCTCAAATACATGATTTTAGTAATGATANTCTAAATTAAACGTGGTAAAAAAGTCACCATAGACTTTATAAATTGGTAAATATACTTACCTTGGTTTTAGAAAGGGTTAAAATGAAAATAAGCTCTTCAAATTTTAAGAAAGAAAAAACTAAATGTAATTAAAATAGGAAGCAGAGCTTTTTTATGAAAATCACGGTGATAGTCTCAGTTAATAGGGAAGCTTATTATTCTAGAATAAAAGTCTGAAATATATCTCACCTTCAGTGGAAATATTTGTATATAAATTTCGTTAGAATAATAGCCTAATGATTAGAATTTTGATAATAGTCATTAAAATACATCCAAATCGTCTCCTTTTATACGACGTAGAATAATTAATATGTTTTTTTTCTCGAAAAATATTTCAATGTCTGTTGCAAATATATGGTATGCGCTTGGACAATCACCAACAAGACAAAACCAGATTCTCAGATATGTCTTTTGTATTTAAAATATAATTGACATGGCTTAAGGCTATGAAGTGTGCCAAGAATTAATTAGATTTTGTTTACTCTATGAAATTGAAAAATGTGAAGTAGTGACTATTTTCTTTTAGAGTTTACCTATAGTTAGACATTTGAGAAATATTTCCAATATGAGTTTTCTGCTGTTTTTCTCGTACACATAATTCTGATAATGATAGTTTACTGTAGATTTTCTCAAATACATGATTTTAGTAATGATATTTTACTGTAGAATTTCTCAAACACATAATTCTAGTAATGATAGTTTCCTGTAGATTTTCTCAAATACGTAATTTTATTGATCATATTTTACTGTAGATTTTGTCAAACACATAATTTTATTGATGATATTTTACTGTAGATTTTGTCAAACACATAATTCTAGTAATGATATTTTACTGTAGATTTTCTCAAATATATAATTTTAATAATGATAGTTTACTGTAGATTTTCTCCAACACATAATTCTAGTAATGATAGTTTACTGTAGATTTTCTCAAATACGTAATTTTATTGATCATATTTTACTGTAGATTTTGTCAAACACATAATTCTAGTAATGATATTTTACTGTAGATTTTCTCAAATACATAATTTTAATAATGATAGTTTACTGTAGATTTTCTCAAACACATAATTCTAGTAATGATAGTTTACTGTAGATAATAATATGGAAATACCATAGTATATTTACATTATCGAAGAAATAATAATAACAAAAGCGAAAAAACTAGTATTTACATATTTATAGTCGAAGGGAGAAAATTAAGGATATTGATCGTTAACACTAAGGTTAATAACGTAGCAAATATTTTATGTTACTTTGAATGTTACTTCAGAAGATTTTCTGGTAGATAATTAACAGTTAAAGGATTAATTTGTTATATATATTATTGGCTATGTAACTCACAGCGTTGCTGGGCTAAAAATCTTCTACGCTTTTGTTTTTTGGAAAGTTTCTTCAAGTCACAGCTATGTTTACATTTTAACCCATTTATGCCAAGCGTGCTTTTATAAGAAAAGTTTTTTCCTCAAAAATTAAAGAAGTAGTAATTCACATAATTTAATATTCTGATTTATTTTAAAGACACCTGATATTTATATCCACTATTACATATGAAGTATAGTATTTATTTTGCATTTGAAATTAGAAGTGCTGCATTTCTTTCATTGTAATAGCGCAGCATAAAATGAAATTTTTATTTTTGAAAACTTTAGAGAAGACGTAAACCTCAAACCAATTGCAGCCTATTTTTGAAGCGTCGTAACTTTAGCTAAAATGCAAAATATTTATTTTTATTTTCACTCCAGTTACCTGAAAGAGCCACCTAAAAGTTAAAATTTCAAGATGAATGGGAAAAGGGCCGCAAACGGTCTCAGGCACCCAGATAAATTTTAATGGTGATAATGACACAAAGCAATTTTGAAGGAAAAGTTGTAGTTATCTAAGAGATATGTCCGGAAGGATAAAAAAAAACATGAGCTACCACTTTTATTACATGAGTGTTTTTGTTTATTTGAAAATTACAGTTAATTGCTACACATGGTTCAGTTAATGTATTATTATTTGCTTCATAAATAACTGATTCCACTACATATAAATGATTTAAAACCGGATTGAAAGACATTTCATTCTAGTAATTTTTTCCAGAAAAATAAAGTATTTGTAACCGCTAAGATTTTATTTTGTTATTATAACATTTATATCAAACTGCTTTTTTTTTCACGAAAAAGCACATATGAATAAACTGTTAGGAAAAAAAAAAGAATAAATATACTCCTCTCGGAAACTAGCTGTAACTGAAATGGTTTTACTACCCAGCTTCTCCCCTGTTTCGTTTCGCTGTCACCCCTGATTTAAAAGTTCACATGAAGCATCACATTGTCACAACTCTCTCATAATGAGACTTTTAAAATGTAAACAAAAATAGTAGAAAGATATGTCGTTTGAAAAAAGATAAGAAAACATAATTATTTTTCAGCAATTATTTTGAAAAATTAAAACGTTTATTCATACCGTAATATATTATTTTTATAGATATCCACAGTGTTCCTATGGTGTGGAAAATATTTTAAAGTGGTAACAAAACCGAGACAAATCTAGATGTTTTAAGCTACCAATGGAATTTTAATTTAAACTAAATATATATAGGATCAAAAATAAAATGCTTTGCAGATAATTTCGCTTATTATCAAATGAAAGATATAATTAAGCAAATTTCAATCTTACAAAATCTTAGCTACCACTATTCAGTGGTAGCTAAGAATTATATTTGCCACTTCGTTGGAACTCTGATTTATATCGATGGCGGATCTTTTAAAAGTAATTAAACAGGGTTGTCATCTTTCAACGCTTTTTCGATAAATTTCTTCTAGAGGTAGCTGATTTTATGCTTTAATGTATAATACCTTGTTTTGTAAATTTGATTTAAAGTTATTTTCCGCACCGTTAGAGTGAAGTTCTTAAAATGTTGGCAAAATTTCCAAAAATTATCGTTAAATTATCGTAAAAATCAACTATTAAAAGATCTATAAAAATTCAACTATTGCATCCCTGCAATAGTTGAATTTCTTTGACTGCAGACATTTTTCAAATAACATGTTACAAACTGCTAGATTCAAAATACCTGTTTTAGATATCTATTACACAATAATAGGCATTTTGAAATATTTCGTTTCCCAAGAAAAGAATAACCCTCAGATGGATCCGCTACAAACACTGACGTGTAGTGGCAACAATCACGATTAAGCTGTTATTGTAATAATTTGGGCTGCTACAGCTGTAGCACGGAATAATTTCACAATCATATAATAAATTAACAAGATACGAAAAGAAGTTTGCTCTTCTTTTATTTAGAACTGCTCAAACATTCTTAAAGTACAGTGTGTACAAAACTTCAAGAAAAAAATAAGTTTTTGAAACTACAACTAATTCGCAACTTTCGCTTAATAATTTCGTAACAGGCACTTAGAAACATGTTATATTTTTATAACAGATATGATTCTGCAACAAATACTAAATATTTATCATGGTACAGGTTCTGGATATCTTTATTTACTACTGGAATCCTGTTGTTGTTAGAATACTTAATACAATGTAAATAAAAAAATTCCTTTTCTCAAGTATCGAATGTATAGAATGACTGAGGGGTGCTCTTAAATGCAATAGGGGAAAACCTTGTGTTTCTCGCTCATCCAGAAAGACCCCCATCCTGTCGCCTCCTTTTATCTGTGTATAATCTTCTGCATTTCTTTGCAAAATGATCATAGACCATTCTGCCACTGCATTGATAACTCGCTTTGTCGTGAAGAGAGAATAACCTGACAAAATAGTCACCAGTAGGAATTAACCCTCCGGGAGCACTCGTTTTATACTCACCCTCTATCATACAAACCATGTCATCCATATTCTCATAATTACATATGGCACAATGTGGGTTTCGGTAATACCTGTGCTTGTGCAAATCCTCACTTCGAAATCTTGTAAGAGCCATATACTCATGGCACATCGTTCTTACATTTTCATCAGTCCAATTCAACGCGCATTCTGATACGATATTGAAGGCATAACAATACGGCAGACAGTCTTCTAACACTTCAGGTAAAGCATGAAACAAACTGACTTCGGTGACGTTATCGTCATCCAGAACCCATCTCCAGGAGTCTCGCTCAAAATTTTGCAAGTTCGGTAGTTCTTCGGATTTATTAACTTTTTCTAAATCACCTCCTAGGACTACATCCCATGGTATAAGTCGTTCTTCGCCAGAGTTTTCATTGCAAACAAAGCAGTAATAGTTCTTGTATGTAATACCCGTTGCAGGATCAGTAACAAGTATGTCCAGAAAAGGATCGTTTAAATATTCACCTCTGCCTTCGCAAAGCTCTTTGGTGGTATTGTCGTATTGCAAATAGGGATTGCAGTTATTTATCAACGGGTAGTAAAATTGGCGGTTATTGTTCAACTGTCTGCATTCAACGTTTTTCAGATATTTTTGTTTATATTTTTGTCTGTACTTCGAATCGACACAGCAAGTTCCAAGAAAACTGCAGGTTTCGTCACAGTTGCAGTTATAATTCCAAGCTTCGTTAGTTCTAGGAACTTCACAGGAATCCATACCATTGCATGTTACATTCAAACTTTTCATATCCTCGTATATCACATCAGAAAATGGGATCCACCAATATTGGTAGTTCCAAATATAATAGTTTCCAACAATTGTCCCAATGAATGGACCGGATAAGAGTAACAGAGCAAAAGTTGGAAATGTTTTCCATTCACACTTCATGGTTGATTCAATCTAAAACAAATACAAAAATAATTATTTATAAGTTTTATCATTGTTGTGGAACACCGATTTTACGTTTTCCATCGGATTAGCGTTAAAAAAAAAAGCATGAAACGAGGAGAAGAAAAATCGAGATTTAATATAATATTATACGGGGGAGTGTCGGGCACCCCCGCCCGCTGTCAATTTCACATGTATAGAATATTTTTTCAAGTCAATGAGCCATCGAACATTCATTGTTTTTTTTTAAAAAAAAAGATTATTTTCAAAATATTTATGCAGCTAGTAACATGGTAAACAATAGTTTTGAAAATATGTTGAATACAGTAGTCATGAAATTAAGAAAAATTGGTACAATGTTTCGTAATGCTTTTTTTGGTTTATTCTTTTTGCATTATTTAATTTGACGATAAAACTATAGAAACATACAAAAATATTGATTATCACTCAATATTATACAGAAATATAAGCAATACTCCTTAAGTGGNTTGGAACTGCGATGCTGTAATTTTATTGTTTAGTTAATAAATCTTCCTTTTATATTAAACGTGATAGTAGTTTCCTTAATTATTTGATTCGAAGTCCTTGGAGTTTTATTTGAGGTCAGTTTATTTTGTATTTTTTGACAAGAGATAGCATTCTCACCAAATGAGATTTCTCCCGAAATTCAATATTTTGTTTATGTAGGTTTTTCCATTGCAATTCACTTATTTCAATTTTTAATAGACTTAATTATAGCCAAAATTTTAACCTTTTTAAAGAGATATCAGTTTCCGAAATTTTGTCTTAAGATTTTATACTATAGCACATTTCTAATAGGTTTAACGAATTACATGTCATTTATTTGAATTCAAATTAATTTTAATGACATAGTATTTACTAAAAAGATGTAATTATTTTTTAAAAAATAGTTGTTATATGGATTTGAATGATTGTTTTGAATTCTTAGAATTTTGTGCATTTGCAATGTATCTAAGTTAGTAGCGAGCGAAGCGAGCTTGGTTTGCGAAGCAAACCATGTAAGATTGCGTAGTAATTTTTGGGGGTTGGCGAGCGTTAGCGAGCAGGGGGCACAGCCCACTAGTATTGATTATTACTCAATATGATACAGAAATATAAGCAATACTCCTTAAGTGGGCGGGGCTGCCCGACTCTCCACTAAAGCTTTTTTTTTTTAAAAAAAATGGCACTTTCGAGATGAACTATTAGAAAAAATATGTAATATTTTTTTTGTTTTGTTTTTATATTCAATTTCTATATTATTCCTCTCAAGATTTTCTACTGTTTGCAAACTGCAATTTGATTTACATTCGCAAATAACTATTGTTTGAGAGTTTTTATGCTCTGAAACTCTTGAACAGTTGTGGGTATATCCTCCGATATTTTTTACTCATCTTCATCGTTTTTATTGGAAGCTAACATTAAATCAGGCATTGAAGGAATTGAAAAGTTATGATATGTTTGTGTCAGTCGATATTAGCGTCATCGACTTCAAAATATCTTCGATCGCGCGATTTTATTCCAAAGGGTCACCGTTCCTATTCCAAGAAACTTCTTTTATTAAATCCACTTGTTATGCATCTTATTCGACATCGTCCAACGCTGTAGAAATCGAATTCAGAGCTTTCAGAACTCTTATTTTCGCTTTAGAAACATCTTGCAGATCGCCATAATCAAGTAAAAGGAATGATTAACCAGTTCTTAATTGATGATTGGAAGTAATGATTGGATTATTAAAAAGATCATAGATTGAAAATTGATGGAAAAAATTCCACTAGCAAATTTTACAATTCAAGTTCCCTTATTTTCTTTAATCATCATACCTTTGCTTTGCCTATCCCACCCCCATTCTGATTTTCACTGAGGGGGTAAACTCCCCTCACAGACTAAGGACAATAAAATAGAAGGAATGTCAGAACTGTTTCATAACAGCTTATATAAACAAGTCTCTGTTTGTGCGAGCTTTAAAGAGAAAAATGATTTAGACTTGTTAGAAAAATTTATAAAAGGGGATTTTATTTAAGACGGCAACGTAAAATCCAGAATAATTTAACCCTTTGCATTAAGAATACTTTTAAATGCTGTTTGATCTGATATCAGCACTGTAGCATTTAAAATACATAATATAGTTTTATTATACAATTTTAAAATTCTTAATATAATGTGATTACTAATTAATAAGGTATGAAATTTCTTAATTTTAAAGTGGTGACTGTTGATAGTGCCTCCGTGGGGGCATCGGAATGCAAAGGCTTCACATTATCGGTATGGATAATTTTCGAGGACCAGAAGATAATAATAGATAGATAAATAATAATTAACTATGGATTTGAAATTTTCACTTACTTCTCTTGGATACAACTTATCCTTGCCCACTAATTATATATTTTAAATAATGGATATGTACGGGGGGTGGAAACACTTCTATACTAGTACATTTTTTCATATTTCTCAAGAAATACTTAAAAAATTATTTCGTAACTTCATGATTGTTTAGATCATGTGATTACTCACACATATCAATGAAGTTTCTAGCTTTTAGAGGTTTGAGGGACCAACAATAAATTAAAAACGGAAAATAATGTTTTTGAACAACATATGCCAAAAAATATTACAGTAAATTTGTAACTTGTAACAATTATTTTCATTATTATATGTAATAATTGCACTTAATTTCGTAAGCCGAGCTTAAATATTTATGGAAATATAAGCATTTTAATAAAAAAAATTTGTTTTTTTTTTGTCTCATGTTTTTTCGCTATTACTTTAAAAATATTCAATACCATTAAACAGAATTTTAGAGCAATTTAAAATTAATTATGAATGTTTGCATTAAAAATTTTTTTTTTAAAACTGTGCAGTATTTAAGTAATTAAAAAAGCTCTTTTATACAGTGCTTGCGCGGAAAAAATATAACATTTTTTCTCATAATTTTTGTAATGAATCGTATTTGGCAACTAAGGAAAGAAGTCCACTTTGAACATCTTAAACATTTTAAGAGTTTGAAATAATTTTCTACTTAGTTTTTGCACTTTTTATAAGAAAGCTTAAAATGATAAAGGGTTTTTTACAAATATTTGTATCATAAGAAAAAATTAAATAACAAATGATAATTTCATTCAATAAACGTTCATACACCAAAATGTGATTGCATAAGGAGAGAAAACATGCCAAAGAAAAGATACTTTTGTGGGTAATGATCTCTAACAATACCGATGCATTTTTAGTAAATCGTATTTAATAATGCAAAATGAAATTTGTGGGAAACTTCTTATGATTTTGAGCTTTCTTTTAAAAAATACGAAAACTACTTAGGAAATTGCTTAAAACTTTTTAAATTTTTAAGACGTGTAAATCGGACTGTTTTTTTATTAACTGCCAAATAAGATTCACTACAAAATTAGGAAAAAAATATTTAAATTTTTCCCCCGCGCATACGCAGTATAAAATAACTACCTTAATTACTCAATTCTTACGCAGTTTTAAACAAATTTTTCTCAAGTTTTAAATAAACTCTTAATTAATTTTAAGTTGTTCCAAAAAATTTTTATCAATTTTTAAATTACTATCAAAAATATGTAAGACAAAAAAAATTTGTTTTTTATTAAAATGTCCATATCTCTATAAATGTTTAAAATAGGTTTACGAAATTTTTTGTAAATATTGTAACCAAAATAATTGTTACAAATTACAAGTTTATTGCTGCATTTTTTGGCATACGTTTTTCAAAAACACTATTTTTTTGTTTTTTAATATATTTCCAGTCCCTCAAACCTCTGAAAACTTTAAACTACATTGATAAGTATGAGAAATCGTATAATCTGAGCTCTTCAAAATTGATATAATAATTCTCTAAGCAATTTTTGAAAAATATAAAAAAAATATATGTTATAGAAATATTTCCATTATTTTGTCCATCGCTTGTTATTTTGTATATGATTTCGGAGGTGCATACGTTAACTTCGATTCTTGTAGTTCTTCATAAATAAAACTTCGATTTAAATATTTCTGGCGTTCAAAAGCGTAAAAAAAATAAAGATATCGACAAAAATGTTAATTGTCTTACGTTTGAAATAATAACACTTAAGATAATTACCATTGTGTAAATTTTTTGTTGCATTTATACAAGTACTTGATCTTACCTAATTCGAGTGTGGTTTCAAATCTGAAATTAGTTTTGTTTAAAAAACAACAGAGTGTTTTCAAAATGATATTTTTCGATTTGTATTTTTATTTTCTGGTCTGACTGCATAAGTTTATAGAAAACGTATAGGTTTATATAAAAACATGTACACTTGTTTGCTGCTTTGAAAATAATACTTAAGACAAAAAAATATATGAACTTAACGTATCGCATTATAAACTGAAANAGTACTAAATTTAAAAAGTAACGAAGTACAAGTAAAAGTACGTACTTTTTACTTGTACCGGCGGTACAAGTAACGAAAGTAAAAGTACTGCCATTTATGCTCCCTACGTAGCAAAGAGGTAAAGATACTAAATATTCAATCGAGTGAATTTCAAATAATCCTAGTTAGGAATATATTATTGAATTGCATAAAAATTGTAGTTTGTAGAGAGAAACCGATTTCCGATTTGAAATAATCGATGCGAAAATATCTAAGATGAGTTCAAAATTCTAATGCAACAAAAAACAAAGAAAATTTTGTTACCCACTGTAAAGTAGTGAATGTTAGTTTAAATTAGTTAGAAAATTGATAATATATGAAAAGCTTAATGGATGATGCTTAAAAAAAATTTGAGATTTCTCGGAGAAAGTTCGCATTTTAGTCTTATTTAAATAAACAACATTCATTTATATTGCTATTAATTGCGGAGAATCTTCAGCGGAAGATAGAGCTAAGTGTCATTATTTGAGTATTCTTTGGATGCAAAAACAACATGGACATGGCAACAGCACAAATTGACATGGAGACAAATAGTCAATAAACAACCGTAGAAAATCACTTACATGTCTTCGGACACTAAGGCGAGAGAAGAAAAAAATTTATGAAAATGAAAGAATTGCTTCCATGCATTAAGGAGGAATTTGTATTTTTTTACAAATCGATAGTAAAAAAGACAACAGAAAAAAAACCTTAAATAGCTACGACATAATTTTTTTTTGCTTTTTTGTTTCCGGTTCGTTTTAATTTGTAATTTCAAACACACTACCCTGGTTAAAACTTTTATTTTCTAAGCTAAGTCGAGTTAAAAATAAATAATATTTTCTGCTTATGCAACTTTTTCAGTTTATTTTTGATGCATTTGTATAAATGCAACAAAAAATTTATTCCCCTATATTACAGGTGATAAAAGCCGTTTAAATAAACATTCGTGACTTTTTTTATGCCTTGAAATTGATATTTATTCTAAAAAAAGAATTAAGTAAAAGAATTTTTAACTTACTTTGATTAGCGAAACTGGCACTAAGATGTATCCATATAGTTGTCCCTTATCTTTCCTACTTTTTTTTTTTAAAAAACAGTTCGCTCTATATTACATTGTTCACAATGCGACTCAAATCGTAAATGTAATGTACCTCAAGAGAAACATCAATGATACAATAGTCGAAACCGGACAGGGTACTTTTTTTAATCTTAATTACAAATTCATTAAACTGACAGATAGTTTACTTTCAAGGCTGCAAGAAGATACGTTTTTAAAGAACTATTACGATTATTATGCTAATAATTTGAGTAAATGGAATCTATGTTAGTCATCTCAGTAATCGCTTCCGGCTTTCAAGCGAAAAGAACATTAATTATTTGACGGAAAAGTCACATTAGATGAGATTTAAAAATACGTAATCACACGTTTCATTTAATACAAATCGTTTGCATCATATTATTTCAAGGTATTTTGTAGTCTGCTACTTTTTTGTTTGAGGGAAAAAAAATTTTAATAAAATTTATAATCGGTATAATTATTTTAAACGAAAAAAACTTTTTTAGAACAAATTTAAAAAATATATTGGAAAGATATTTTGATGTATGAATCTTGAAAACTATATTTATTGCTTGATTTGTAGCTGGTGAAACATCAGGCATCAAATGAAACTAATAGATTTCGCTAAAGTAAGGTAATTAGAAGGAACACAGCTCTGTTTCTCAAACATTAAAATCTAGTAGACAATCAGACTGTAAAATCTAGTAGATATTTATTTTAAAACAAATAAGACGGTTGTTTATATTTTAACAAATTCACTTCGTTTCGTTAATCTTTCAAAATCGCTTCGTTCATTATTTCTACTTAAGTATTAAAATAATAGTGCTGCAAATATTTTGTTTTCACATTATTTCTAAAAGTAATATCGCATTCATAATTGATGAACTTAGAATAAATTAGTTAAAGTTGCAAGTAGTATTTTTAATTTTAAAAAAATCTGATGTGGGGGGGGGTTAGATCTTATTTTACTTTGTTTTCATTTACTTGCTTTTGGTCTCTTAACATAGAATCTTGCAATCGAAATTTCAACCACTTTTTTCTAGCCATGTTTATGTTAGTAGGTGATAATATAAGTAAAGACTCAAATAAAAGAACGGGTCAAAACAATTATGAGTTTACCATTTATTACATTATGACATTATATCATTATGAGTTAAACATTTATGAGTTAAGTGATGTGATCACAATGTTACAAGTAATTTTTATACTGATTTTACATTTTCATTTCCGTAAGTAAAGATATAAAGTATGTTTAAAATCACAATGCGTCGAGATATTGATATTTAATATATGTGATTAGAATAGTTTAAGCAACAATTCAAACTGTTTCAACCAGGCTATCCCGGCCCGCAAATTTTAGTTTGTAGTGCTCTACCATTTTTTTAAAATTGTACCACTTTTTTTTTACTTTTGGTTTACTATGATGTTTTTCTTTTTTAATTTTAAAGGCTAATACCCGTTATTATCTATGCACTGATGTTATTTTAATCGTCTGTTATTAATGGCAATCAAATCAGCCGGTTTAAACAGTATTTGATTTTCATTAAAAAAAATTAATAATTCATTGAATGAAGAAAACATATTTTTTTGGTCATCTTATCAGTAGTGCAAAAAAGAGACAGAAAAAAATACAGCAGAATTAGTAATGCGCTCTGTTTCTTCCCAAGTGAATTACAGTCACCAAATCATGCTATGATACATGTCTAAAGTACAATTTGTCATTATAAAGAACGATTAAAGTATATAATAATTCTTATATCTCATACATTGCCTAAAAACACCATGAATTCTGTGTCTTATATATTACTGAGGATATATATTACAGTCATTTTGTATTTTGAAGAACCAGCGTAAGAACCAGCGTGCAAAATATTGAACAACATTTTGTACTATTTTATTACTTAGAAAATATATTTTTTAGGATAATTTTTTTTTAATGTTTGCATGCCTTTGCAAGCAACTGAGAATGTAAGAATAGAATTATATTTACACTCTTTGGTTAGAGTTTTTAATTAAATTGAAGGAATTATCTGCAATTTAAGAAATCTGATTCAAGCGAACTTTTTAAGAGTTTTCTGACACATAAATATCTTATTATTTGGCTAGTAAATTTTGTCTCTTACCAAAATGTGAAGTAATAGACTATAAAAATATTCTACAATATGCCAAAATACTGTAAAAATTAAAAATTATTGATCAATTGATAATTGATAAATCAAATTTTCTTATTAAATTAGACTTATTGATTCTTTAAAATTTTGTATGTCCTTAATGCGTTTATTTTCTTTAATTCCGCATATTTTTACATAAAAATTGTCTATTGTTCTATTACTTAAAGCTCTGATCTTAGGAGAATATATTCAAAATTAGATATTAAGAAACATTAAAGAAATTTTTAATATATATTTAAACAAGTCATTATTTGAGAAAATAACAGTTCTATTTCAATTTAATAAAAATGGAGGTATTATTTAAATTGTGAATTAATTCCACTTATTAAAAAAGGTAGCTAGCTTACCTGTAGCGTTGCACTACGTAAAATAAACAGTATATTTTCTGGGAATAAACCAGGTTTTTTCAAGAATAAAATTTGGAAAATTATTGTATAATTTTAGTTCGAAAAGTATTTTTTACTATCCTGATTCTGATTCCGTACGAATACATTTATGACTCGCCAGTTCCGTAAAGGTTCAGAAGTGTTCCCATAATTTTGTCGAACCCCGTATCTCTCCTATCATATTGGAAAGATCACATTTATTTATCTTCAAAATTCTCAACTTTTTAACAAAATTTAACTTTTATTTCTCCGAAATTACAGGTTTTTCCCCCGTGTTTTTCAAAAACAGTTGGTTGCCTTTGCAGTATTTCCACTCTTTCATATTCAAACACCTTATTTCTGTTTTTTAATTATTTTCATTTTAAATCTACACACTTTTATTAAAGTTATCAATAATCTGATCACCGTCGCCTTTTTTTCTGCAGCCAAAGAAAAGACATTCCATATCGAATAAGAGAGGAAAATATAGCTGGCAAAATTTACATTTCCCGGCAAAAGTTTCCTTTAGTGGTCATTAAATAACAATTGAGTTGGCAAATGTAAGTAAAGTTACTTCACTTGTTGTGATAATACTAATANAACTCATAAAATAAGTTCAAAATGAAGATAAAACAAAGGAAAATTACAGACATATGAAAAAAGGGGGAAAAAGAAAAATAATAATAAGAAAATAACAAACAACTGGGGGAAGATGAAAAAAAGGATTAAAAAATTTTTGAAAATCCGGAGAATAAAAGATATAATCTTCTCATCAGCCCACACGATTATATCCGCAAAAAAGATCTTTTATAAATTAAATTTATTAAAATCTTTAAATATAAAAAAGGAAAATCCCCGGAAAAAGAAATTTTGGAAAAGTTGACAGATCAAGCAAAGAATAAGTACTCTCTTTACACTTTAACAGGGTAACCACTTTCGGTAAAAATTTTAAAACTGCTAGAAAAATATAAAGGAAGCAAAATGTTTAAACTAATTACCATAGGCTAAAACTAACTATAATTTAAATACCTGTGTTACAACTGGTCAACTAAATTCCTAGAACAGTCTGAAACTAAAGCCTATAAAATTTGCAATAACCTTATGAAGCTAATGTTGCCAGTTCTTAAATTTCTTTAGACTGTATAGCCTCCCTGTTTAAGAAACTATATCTCACAGTGAGGAACAGAGATTTAAATAAATTTTTTATTTATTATCCTAAAATAAAATAATAATAAAACTTATATATTCCTCACCTTCCAATAAAGCTAAAACGTAAGAACTTCCGTTGTAATAATTGAGATATAAGTTGTAATAATTGAGATATACGTACGACGTGAAAAATTAAACAAGCTTCCTCTTCACACAATATTCCAAGGTATGAGTGAATTATGCAAGGATAATTAGTATTAATACGAAACTAAAACCTGATTGGGTGGGACTTCTTTTTCAACTAAAAGATATATAACAAGGTGATTTGTGATTAGAATTAAGAAGTGTATTTTCTATGCGTGGCATTGGATTATTGAAATATGAATATAGAATTTGCTCTCAATTTGACGTTTGTGTTATGTTTCCTTGATAAATTTCTATATTTTTAAGGAATAAAATTTTGCAAAGACTTAGAGTCGAATGCTCTATATCTGCAACTATTTATCCAGTCAATGAACGCTTAAAAAGGGCCTCAAGAACAGAGACTTTTAACTAAACGAAATATTTCTTTATGATTAATAGATAGGGGGAAAAATTGCACACTGCTATCTGACTAAAAAAATGCACCTAATATCTGAATTTAAATGCATCTACTTCCTACTACTAAATGCGAAAAAAAAGCATAAAAACATGGCATTGCTGCGATGGTTCAATTGGTTAAGATACTGAACTGCCATTGTGAAGAACTGGGGTTCGAACCCCGGAAGTGGCTTGCTACTACTGCGAAAAAAAGCATCAACAACATGATATTGCTGTGATGGTTCAATGGTTAAGATACTGAACTGCCATTGTGAAGAACTGGGGTTCGAACCCCAGAAGTGGCTTGAAGCCCGTTCAACTAATCTGGGAAGTAAAGGCGATCAGTGTACTGAGCTGATCACATTGCCACAATTATGCGTTGGGCACGAAATTGTGGAGGCTTAACCTTCATGGACTCCACTGACTCACAGCGGGCTGTTGCATGACTGCTTTATTTTTAACCGATATTTAAAAATAACTTTGTGAAAAAAAGGAATCAACAAACTATTGATAAATTCAGTGGAAAATACATCTACTACCTATTATTTTAAACTGATTTTGAGTTAAATTGCGTCTACTACCTGATATTTAAATTTGATTTTGAATAAAATCTACCTGAATAGAAAAGCATTTACTATGATTTTTTTTAAAATGTAGTTACAATTTTCATCTACTACCTCACATTTGAAGCAGATTTTGAGTAAGAATTGGATTGCCAGGGGAAAATCAAATATACTACCTATTTTTAAATGCAGTGAAAAAAGCACTTGTTGCCAGATATTATAAACTGATATCAAAAAAAAAAAACGCATCCACTATTTACAACTAAACGCAGTGAAAGAAAAACATTTACTGCTTGATATTTTTTAACT